CGCGCTGCTGGCGGGCGGCGGGCGGCGCCTGGCCCGTCGCCTCCTGCCGCGGCGTCGCCGCGCCCTGCCCGTGAGTACCGCGGAGCGGAGCGGCTCCCGGGGCGCCCCTCGGCCGCAAGCCGCCGTTGGCGGGAGAGGCGCCCGGGGGCACAAAATGGCGCCCGCCTCGCGCCGCCGCTGCGGTTTGGCCGTTAAACGGGCGCGTTCGGGCGGGCGCCGCGCGCGGGGCGGCTGCAGGCGCTCAGGCCGCGGCGGGGCAGGTGCGCGGGTGGAGCCCGCGCCGAGGCCGCCGGCGATGAGACACAGCCCTCGCGTCGGGAAGAGCCCCCCGAGGCCTCGCAGCCGCTCTGCGAGAGCCCGAGGGAGGCTGCGGCGCTGCCCTCCATGCCGCAACACCCGTGGGCTTTCTTCACGGGACTAGTGAAATAATGGAGACAGTGCACTCTGTGTATGAGTCTAACTTGGAAATGAGAACGAGGAAGAGAAAAATGCGATCAGCAAGGAATTATACCAGTACAATATCAGTATAACCACTTTCCTCTCCAGAATGAAGTGTCTGGGGTTCTTTCACAGCGATGGAGCAAGCTTAGTTCTTGCTTATGCTCCAGACCAGCTTTCTGCAGGAATTAGCACATGTGCCTCTTCCAGGGCCTCCTCTCACAGCTGRCTCCAGCCCCCTCCAAAATGGCCATATGCAGTTTATACTCTCTGCAGTCTCCAGCTTTGCTCCCTCATCCTTCCTCATGTTCCTCTTTTGGAACTGAAGTATGTAATTTTGAAAGCGCATCTCCACGAGTAAAACAAATTCTCTAGTTTAACAAGGTAATCGCATTCCATTACAAAAGGCAGTGATGTTTATACACAAGCTGTTTGCAAGTTAAAAGTAATTGATCTCATTGGGGCTAGTGAGCTATTGGAAGTATATGGAGTAGGGATTGGTGTCCAGGTGCCATGGATCACATAGCAGTGACACAGGTGCGTTACTCTACTGAGCTGTCACACCAGCACGTCCTGACAGGAGTCAGTTTTGCCCTGTCCCCGGCTCTCAGGTGCCCAGCTGCGCTGCCTTATTTCCTGTAGTATTTCCAGTCTGAGGGCACCGTTTGAGCTGTTAGGAGTGAAGCACCTGCAGCTCTCTCCCAAAAGCTGATTAATGCCACACTGATACCTGGTGTGCAGCCTTCTGTGCCTGTCTCACTGCTGTGTCAAACCATAGGTATAAGAAAGGGACCCTTTCAAAAACGTTTAGGAGTTGGGTCTGTGAGGCGTCTTGAACATTTTCAGAAGTAGGGAGGATGATCTGATTTCTCCTTTTTTACAGACTTTTAGGATAGGATCTCCCGTGATGCCTGTTCTGGGAATGAGATCGCTCCTYGTTCTCATCCTAGGGTGTTCTCCCCACACCAAGCATCTCACAAAGATAAGGGCAGCCCATGATCTGAGGGCCCTTGCACCCCCTGAGRTTTCTTTGCATGTGCACTGCTGCTGCTGGGACTGGGTCTGTTGTTGTGAAGCGTGCCCCTGCAGGCGAATGCTTCATTACCAGTAATTAGGATAATTACTCTTAATGCAAGCAAGTAATCTTGAGAACGTTTTCATACTATAAATTGTGCCTCACTTTTCTGCCCATTAATAGACACCTGAGAGGATTTTCCAAGCATTTCCTTTTTGTTTTGCTGCCTTTAGTTTTTTGTTTGTTTCTGTCTTTTCTTTTGTTTTCAATCAAAGACAGCAAGACAGCTGTGGAGATCGAAAATTAGGTGCACATGAGACCACATCTCAGCCATTGGTGGATAGATCTGCCTTTATTTCTTGCATYTGAGCTCTGTCCTTATCAGCCTGGTTCATGAGGGAACTGATTATGGTTATGATGGTCAATCTTTTCTATTTGCTTCTCTTGTTCTTGGAAATAATCCCGTTTTATGATCTTCTGCTCTATTCTTTTGCTTGCTGGAAGTGACTTGTCTTCAGGTTTCAGAAGGTATAAGGAAGAGTAGGGAGAGTGGAAGTCAGATTGTTTCATCTCTAAGGGGCTAGRGTGCTGAGCTGCTGCAGGAGGAGGAAACCTTGCTAAATTCTGTGATCTGGTTTGTGCTTGATCCTCCTTTCTTGGAGCTGTGTCTCTGTGAATTAGATTAGTACTGAGCAAAGTAATTTAATTTTCACTTATTTAGTGTCTTTCAGTGCCTATAGCTGCCTGCTGCTATTAATGGAACTAGCCTATATGTTCTGTCTGTATGTGGGAATCAGAATTTATATGAGTGATCGTATGCTAARTTCAGGATACCCTTTCAGCTCAGTTTCAATGTCAAATCGTGACTCTCCTGGGAAAGCAGTAATTTCAGCACGAGATGGAGGACGGGACAGGGTGTAGCTTATTTGCTTATTACTGTCTGCCTAAACTCATTTTGCATTAGTGCAGTRACTGATCATTATCACCCTGCAATTATTCCTTATTGCCCTTTCACTACTGCCTATGTCTGCAAAACATGAAACTAGAGCATGGAGACTGTGCTTGCCTGTCTAGCCACATTTTCAGATTAAAAATGGGGCAATTCATGCATGAGTAGTATGAAATACAAATGTCCCCATTCCTGACACTGTTAGTGCAGTAAAAGAGAATATTATTTGCAGATGTCTTGGCAGAGAAGGAAGTGATCTCACTTCCTTGCTGCATTCTTGCAATCTTTATTACTGCTTTGCRTTATCGGCCACCAGATAATGGTTTCGGTTTGGAGAGGTCTGGATGCCTGCAGGTGGATGGTCGCTAGCTCAGCTAAACCTCATGTGTTTATTGCCCCACGGCCGCGGGCAGGAGAGCAGGGGAGAGAAGACTCCCAGGCAAAGAAAGAGGGTGAATATGCAGTGGTTTGCAGCACATGGTTCTCTTTGGGATTTTGGATTCTTTTCCCAGAGCTGTCATAAGCCTGTTGTGTCATTCTAGATATGGTATCAGCTATCTCTCCATTTATCCGTCAGTTAATGTAGGAGAGAACTGTAGGATTAGATAGGCGTCTCCTATTAGACTGCAGTRTTTTCAGAAGGTATGTAGTCACATTCCTGCTTGCTCTATTGAATCACTAACATATAAACTGGAAAGTACTGCCTAGGGTGGGAGCAGATAGAGAGCAGAGAGTTGCTCTGCAGTTAAAAAAATATCTGCTGTGCAGTTAAAATAAACAACATCCTGTCATTTGAGGTTTTCTATGCTACTCTCACCGTGCATGGAAGCTGGTGGATTGCTGTCTCTTGAAATACTTCTTTGGCCACTGATACTTTAGACAGAGAGGTTCTGTTTTAGCTACTCTACTAAGGCAATGCAAATTGCTACCAAGCAGCAATTGGCTAAATTTGGGGTTTCACCACAGCTGTGAGCTGGTTGTGTTTGTACACATGGATCCTGTCATCTTGTTTCCATGGACTGAATCGGTCGTAGCTCCACGGAAATCACTGTGGTTGGATTGCAGTGAAGTTAGTGTGCAGACAGGGACGTGCCYGTTGTGACTTGCGCCTGAGTTGCCTCTTATGCCTCTACCTGCCACCATAAATGGGGCAGGGAGCTGAGCTAGAGTGGATCCTGCTCCTCTCCATTGCATTTAGGATTTTGCTGCATGCAGAGTCATGGTTGTGCAATATTATGCATTGGATTTGAGCTATCTGTCCCTGCTTTCTTTAGACACCACCTGTGTAAGATAATTCCTGCTTTCAGGAGATGCCTTTTATTCCCAGCAGATTTTACCTGGAACCTGCCTTAAACAGCCATCCTTCAGGTAGCTCAGGTGAGCGAGCCTGGGCGTACGGAGAGCTCTGGAATCAGCTCCGTGCCCCGTAGTCACTGATGGGGAAGCAGTGCCCGGCCCTGCCTGCAGGGCTACAGGTCGCTCCATTGCGTTGTGGTGCCTGCAACGCTGCTGAGCTGATGATGCATTTCTGTTTTTCCCACACAGGCTGAAGGGAAGGCAGTGCTAATCACGGGCTGCGACAAAGGCTTTGGCCATGCCTTGGCAAAACAGCTGCATGCAAAGGGGTTCACTGTTTTTGCTGGATGCTTGCTGGCGGTGAGTAGTCATAGCGATCAAAATTCTCARTTAACAGCCACTTCATCTGCAGCTTCCCTGCCCCACAACTGAAGAGCCGTRGGAGGCACAGTGGGCAGGGTTCTTATATTTTTCCATTGCTTCATCTACTCGTTACGTCTCGTTACTGTAAGTCTGAGCTCTTCAGGGCTGAGACCATCAGCTACGTGTTTGTGCAGTAGCTCGCGCGATAGGGCACTATTCACTGAGGCCTCTCTGCAATACAGTTGATGAATCTATTAATTGCTATAGCACAGTGGGCTCCTCTCTCTGGCAACTCCATTGCTGTGTTTCATTCTCTCCCCTGCCTTTSGGGACTTTCTCCTCTAATTCATGGCAAAGCTTTCTCCTACTTGGATGAGGTTGTGTCTCCAGTGTGTCCTCTACCAGCTGTACTTCTGTGAGAAATGGATAGCTGAATGAGAAAATTACCTGTACATCTCTGATATCTGTGGGTGTCACCTTCTTATCACCTGTATTTGGCAGGCAGCATTTACTTGTTGGTAGAGATCAGTGTGGGCGCACTAAACCAGAGCTGATTTTTCTGATCATAGTTACATACATTGTTACACTTCAGTGCAGGTGCTGCTTTTGCAATTCTGCAGGAATTGGGCTTAAGACAAAATATTAAGTTTTAAGACAAGATCTTAAGCTTATGTTTTGATATGCCACTTCTTACAAAACTCTTGGGATATAGATTATCTGCTCCTGCAGTTGAATGCTGCATTGTGCTCTGACTTAAGTTTGTAAAGGACCTAAGGCGGCAGCAGCAGCACAAACAGGAGAGCTGGGTAGGGAAAGTGACTTATTTCCCTAGGGGAAAAATAAAACAAGAAGATTAATAAATGAGTTCAGCTGGCAGCATAATGATCTGATATTCCTGGGTTCTAGTGCTAACAAGGGATAAGAAAATTGCCCCTTTTCCACTTTTAAAATGGAATATAAGCCATTTGAAAGTAACTGCTCTTGCCTAGGTGCTCAGAGAGCAATGCCTGTAGATTTTCAAGTAGTGCAGCAGGGAGGAACAACGAAGGTGCATGGAGGGCAGCGCTGCCTGCCCGCCTGGGCTCAGCAGAGGTCACGTTCTTCCGCCGTCACACCAGGGAAAATTATCAGCTGACATATTGTGTAACTTGAGAGCAAGAGAGTCCTGTTGGACAGTTGCCACTCTTTGGAAATTTCCATATGGCTGCTCTAAATCCTTCTGTACACACGTCATACCCTGCTTTGGGATGCCTGTATCTTCTGCGATAGCAAGTCAGACACAAATACTGCAGAGCAGCAGGTGTGAGGGATAGAAAGAAAAGGGGATGGAATGATTCTGAGAACGCTGTTCCAGAAAGCAGCACAGAGGGACAGATTCTCTTTAAAGCCATGTACATGAACTAGGAATACCCTATGAGTCTCATTTGCTCATTTTAACGAGCAAACGTTGCCTCTTCATCACAGGATTGCCAGTCCTAGAATGCAATGGCTGCCCTCAGCATCCCCACATCTGGTCTGGTGGTATCTTAATTCAGACCCAAAGATTTTGTGATCCCTACTTAATTTTTGTGCTGAAGAGGAAATGCTTCAGCAGGCCTGGGTGATTCACCAGTAGCTTTCAGGAGATCAACTAACCAYTCCTTTATGAAGGAGTAGAGAGAGGGAGGCTGTGACTCTTGTTCTATGTCATGCTGCCTAGCAGATGCATCTAAGGGACAGGGTCTGGTGTAACAGTGTAAAGTGATAGAGCAGAATGCTCTCCGCAGTTCCTGAGACGTCCAGATGTCCAGCATCTCCACGGAACAGCCTTATGCTTTAGGTGGTTTGAGGAGATACTAGAAAGAATTTTTTTGAATAAGGAGGAACTTRCAGCAGAACACACTTCAGAAACTATTTCATACCTGGAACTGTCTCTTGCAAGGAAAGGAAGCATAMGGTAAATGSAGAAAATGCTAAGGGGTTTGAAAAGAAGCAGGAAACAAACAGTAAAGGCAGGGAACTCTTATTGCAAAGAGTGACTGATGAGCACCTGAGTGAACCTTGTTGATAGAYGAGGCCATGCAGCTAAGGATGCAGCATGTAACAGATCACGGTAGTTGAAGGAAACTTACCCTGTCATGAAAGAAGAATGAGCTGCTGTAGCTTCCCTGCAGGGTAAGAGCAGGTATGGAGCTGGTTGCCGTATAGCAGATGCCAGGCTGTAAGTTCACACATAGTTACTCTGTCATCACTTACTTGCATGCTTTTGTGCTGAGAATTGAAGGATCCCTGGAGTACTAGAAGTCATAGGAAGCTCTTAAACTGAGTGGAGCCTGGGAGTCCATCAAGTGCATCCGCAGCTTTTTCATGATCACAAGTCACAAGAATACTGCAAGTGGCCAGAAACARGAGCTAGAGAAGATCAAGAGCGGAGAGTATTTAATTTAGCAAGGAACAAACTAAACCAAAGCGTAGTTTCTGTTTATTAAGTATTAAAAGTATTAAGTATTAAAAGGATGGGCAAGCATGTTGATGATTTACAAAGGAAACTGAAGAATATAAAGTGTAGAAAAGTCTGAAATTGTCCATGTTTTATTTTCTTTAAGAAGGCCTAAGTGTGTCAGTTGCCAATAGGTGCTTAGAAAGTTGTGCTGCTACTTGGAGGGTATTTGAAGGGGAAGCTGGCTCAGCCCCGCAGTCAGTGCTCATTAGCGGGCTAGACTGAAGTAGTCCCCAGGCTGTTATGAAGTGATTGATACCACCCCCTTTGGGCCACCCAAGACTGTGAGCTGCTGCTGAGGGTTTTGTGAGGAGGTCTGGAATTGCTGTGCAGTCCCTGCACTGAGAAGTGCTTGCACTTTCCTGGAAGAGAAAAATAGATTGCAAGAAAAAGTGTGTGGTGCAAGCAGGGAGGATGGCAGGCTTTGGGGGGAATATATTAGGATTCAGAATCATGTTTACAGATCAGATAAAGTTGAAATCAACTGGATAAAATCTAATAATGGAGAGTGTGAAGTGTCCCACTTAGGAACCGCGAAATGGGAACAGGTRTTTGGACAGCAGCAAGAGTGAGAGGAAACTGGCACTGATGAGGGAGTGCAAACAGAAAGGGTCAGGGACACGGGCAGAAGAGGGCAGATCTCTCCCCACCCCGGAGGCAGTCTTAGCAAAGTTGTGTCTAAGTCACTGTGCAACACGGGTAAGACCTCAGCTAGGCCACAGTGTCTGATTATAGATGCTGGGTTATAGCAAAGATGCATKTAAACTCAAACAAGGGTAGTGATGAGACATTTAGAAAGTGAGAACCRTGAGGAAACATTAAAAGAAAGTGAGATTATTAAATGAAAAAAGGAGAAGATGGAGTAAGGAGAGGAGAAAGTTGTTATCAATAGAAGGCTAGTTCGCTCTGGCTACAAGAGGAAGGGCRTGTAGAAGTCGGAGTAATTTGCAGCAGAAAAGAAAAAAGCCACAGCTCAGACTGTAACAGGTCTGTGGTTCTGCCTCTCCTTTAGCACAAGCTGCATCAGGATCCTCATAAGCAGCACAGGAGCAAACAACTGAAGGGAACAACTGTTTTGCTGTGAGCCTCCAAGCTCTGGAGCAGCCCCTGCTAGCCTGTACGGGCTGGGTTTGACCAGCAAGAGCCCATTGCAGGGCTGTGGGGCAGGATAACGGTTATCTCGGGATAACTGGGCAGGGAAGAGAGAGGTTCTGCTAAAGGTGTCTCTGGAGAGTGTCAGGAGGCTGGGGGAGCTTGCAAGAGGGAGCTGGGGAAGGGAGGCTGGGAGTTATCTCTATGATGAAAGCTTAAAGATTTTATTCTCTCATTTTGTGATATTTGGAAGTAGTTCAGCTGTGAAATGATATGCAAGTGGGGGCGGAAATTCATCCCTACTGTCATAAATCTGGATTAATTATATATTGCTGCAACACAGGTACCCTGTTTTGCTTAAGGTTGAGACAGGAATTCTGGCACTCTTCCTTCCTCACAAATCATTGTTTGCTGGACTGAATATGGAGGGAAGAGCTTTCATATCATATTCATTAGCTGGAGAATGAGAGGCGTGTGGAAAGGTTGAGCAGTTTTGCAGTTCCTGCACCAGCCCTGCAGTAGAGGAGCTGAGCGGGTTGTTACCTTGTGTGCCCTTGTTCTGGGGGAGGTGATATCAAGTGCTGGAGGAGAGTGGCAGCCAGGCACGGTGACTCACCAATTCATAACTTCCTTCTCCCTAGTAAAACAGAGCCTGCCATGCAGGCAGTAATAAGGTGAATTAAATGGTGAGCCTGTGGCAGAATCACATGGCAAATCTTTGCTCTGTTCTTTGCTATTCTGATTTAAATTAATGGCTGAGATGTTTTTATTTTGCTGTTTCAAAAGCTAAACATTTGTATACCTGTCTTAAAAATGATGTTGAGACTGCCTGTGTGGAAGTGTTTGTTTGCTGCAGAGCGTGGGGACGGGGGCAGCCCAGGTTCCCCCAGGGCCATCCCAGGCTGTCCTAGAGCCTGGCACGGTGCCACCTGTGTGACCCTCTGTGCAGGGAGCCAGCAGGGGAGGTTCTGCTGCCCCTTCAAGGCAGTGGGTCAGCAGTAGAGAGGTAGGAGTTGTGTTGGAGGGAACAGGACGCTTACCAAGGGCTGTGTGCTCATTAATGTGCCTGTTTGTACCTAGAGGCATGCAAAAAAGCAATTTTAATAGCCCTAGTTTCTTCCTTACATGAATATGTATGACCCTGATATGCATTACCACTACTAGTGCCTCTCACCAGGACCTGTTTTGTTTTTGGTAAGCAGGATAGGAACGGCGATGGAGCCAGGGAGCTGAGGAACCTGAAGTCAGATCGCATGAAGGTGCTGCAGGTCGATGTGTGCAGTGACCGGGAGGTGGCTCAAGCTGTGGATTTTGTGAAGAGGAGCTTGAAGGAGCCAGAGGAAGGTCTGTGGGAGCCCTGTGTCCCTGAGCCAGCGACTTTCTGGTGTGCTCACTACCCCTTCCCCCAGAGCAGGTGCTGCTCTGGCCAGGCCATCCCTGTGCTGCCAGAGCAGTATTCACAAGCTCAGAGGCCTGGGGCAGTGTGTGACAGGCTAATGCAGGACTTGGGTCTGTGGGCAGAACTGGCTTCCCATTGACATGCCAGCCATGTGGGAAGAGACCAGGACTCCCTAGAGCTTCCTCCTCCCTGCAAGAAAAAGCAGTAAGTGGCAGCAAGCCCAGGAGAGCAAGTGTCTGCCCTTGAGCATCTGCCAGGGCCACATGCTGGGGAGAGCCTGATCCCCTTCTGATGTTTCTTTGGAGTCTGGGTCCCAGAGAGCTTTCTGTGGTGACSCTGCTGCCTAATGAAGTCAGGGTCCAGGTTGCTCTCTGTCCCTTCTGGTCCTTGTGCTGGTTCAGTCTGTTTAATGTGACTGAATGCTGAGCTGGACAGCAAACTTGGCTCCCCCAAGCCTGGATCATTCTTCAGCCAGATTAAAATCCCTGTTTTCAGTTTGCCATGCAGCTGTCCAGTAGCAGTAGCCAGGATGGGCCCAGCCTAGACCACCTTAGAACACATACTACCTTAGAGGATAAGCTCAGTCCGAGGGTAAAAGACAACAGGAGCCGCTGCTTTTCTGGCTGTTCCATGGGTGTGTCTGCAGCCTGTGTTCAGCCCCTGTGCAGGCTGCATGGTGAAGGTGTGGGTGTTCCTCTTGAGGCAAGGGTGAGGCTGCCGGGGGCCTCTCCTTGTTCACAGAAATGTAAAGCTTGTAAGTAACAGTAGCTGTTACCCTGGAGCGAAGTGTGTGAGCACCCCACCCCTCCTGAAGAAAGCACACTGGCCCTTTCCCACACGTCCTCGCTCTGCACGACTCTTCTTCCTACAGTTATCCTACCCTCGTCGCACGTCTCRTAGCTCCTCAAGCTTTTCCTGAAGAACTCAGCAATGGCAGTAGCTCACAGCTGCTTCCCACTGGTTGATAGCTTGCAAGGGAGCTGCTCTGTTCCTTCTGTAAATGCAGTGTTTGCGAAACCTTGTGCCCAGCAGGGACAGAGAAATTTTGCATCCTTGATCAGCAAGTTGGGCCAGTCCCTCCTGCTCCAGAGCCTTAACTTCTTGTTATCGGCTGCAGCACGGTGTGCAAAGCAGCAAAACCCTCTTTTCAGGAGTGTGACTGGGATTTGAAACTTGCCAATAATTGGTGACTGTTAAATAGGTGCAGGAAAATACTCTGTGCAGAGTGCCTTGCACGGGGAYGCTTGTTGCACGCTAAGTGTGGCCCCAAGTGAGCTGGTGCAGAACAGGTCTTGCATTAAACATTCATCTTCTTCTTGCTTTTCTGTGTGCATACTCCCTTTGAGTCTAAATTCATTCTGATGGGAGTGCCACTGTTTGCTTTTGATCTTATCCAGTTCCCACTGTGCTGTTCACAGTAAAGAAATAATAATGATAAAGCTCTGCTCTATGAACACATCCCTGTCCTGCAAATGGTCTGGGGACAAGGTAACTGTCAGCACTTTGTACTGTGTGTAACGTGACCTGATTGGCTAGAAATCCCAAGAAGAATGAACCATTTTAAACTACTTCTTTATAAGTGTTACTAAATCTAACCTGGTTACACAAGGAATAGCTGTAGAAAAACTTGGAACCGGTAACTATTCCGCAGACTTAATTCATGACTATCACTGTAGCTGTCTTTGTGGTCTGTGGTAAATCCCTGCCAAACTTACTGTGTGGAGCTTGTTACCTGTGAAATTACACCATCAGATGCCAGTTTCCATAACACTGTGGGGATTAGAGGCTGCCTTGAAGCAGTGCAGGGGACCCGGTTCGGGCTGAGATGCTGTGCCAGCTAGCAGAGCATGGATTCATTTCAGAGAGATCCTGACCCCCCATTGCTGGCAGTGTCAGCAATGCAGCAGCGACAGGCAGGGGATGCTGGATGGAAGCAGCAGCACCCAAGTGCAGCATTTAGAAACTGAGCAATAAAAATAGAAGCAAGGGTAGGCAAGCAAAATATTTGATTGGCTTTTGCTCCAAGTTACCACTTAGCTGTTATCYTAAACATGGATATCCAAACATCCTCATGGCCTGGCTGGCATTGAGAAATGATGGATCTGGAGGRGAACAGAACTGCAGGCTAATGAGGTGAGCAGAGGTGACAGAGACAGAAGTGCAGGGAAAAGGTGGGACTGGGCCACCACATAACAGATGGAAAAAGCTGGCCTGGTGGCAGCTCTGAGGGGTGAACAGGAAAATCCATTCTGGCAGAGACAAACAGGAGTGGCTAATTTTCTGTTGTCCCTGAGTTGGGCATGACCTTCCTGCAGACCGTTATACACTGTTTGCCAGCAGCTTTCAGGGAGGATGACCTCCCCTGGGAACAGGACAGAGGGAGAACCATTATGAGAGTGGACAAGCAGTCTAGCAAGGGCACACTGGAGTGCTTAAATGCACCAGGAGGATAAATTCCACGGTATGTACGTGGCTGTAGTGGAAAGCTGCAATTTGTCATGTTCAGATGCTATATAGTTATTACTTGATCACAAATAAACTTAGGCTGGACAGCTTTGCAAACATCAGAGCAGGGAGGCTGTAGAGCAGAGGCAGGGCATACAGCCCCAAAAAGCTCAAGAGCGCTTGATAAACTTATCAGCAGGGTAGCGTGACGTGGGCACTTGTGATAGCAAAGCCAGAACTCCCCAAAGACGCCCTCCCAGCCCAGCGTTTGCCTGTTCTCTGTGGTAAGAGAAGGGTCGCACAGAAAGGACCGATGCAGCAGCAGGCCTGAGGTGTCTGTGGGGCAGTGCTGGTGTGACCCCTTAACTACCCCTGGAGCTCCAGCCGAGTCCTGCTGCCTTCACTTCTCATGCCCTAGAGCCCATTTCCTCTCCTTGCCAAGTTTTTCTATTTTGYTCTTTTCTGCAAAAGTATCCAGTTCTTTGCCAAGGAGTTGGACTGCTTAGAGCTCAAAGCTGCTTCTCTTTGACTGCCTCTCTCACTCTGCTCTTTAACCACGTGTGTGTTGGCAGGACTCTGGGGCCTGGTGAACAATGCTGGCGTCTCAACCTTTGGAGAGGTGGAATTCACGAGTTTGGACAAGTACAAGGAAGTGGCAGAGATCAACCTGTGGGGCACCGTGAGAGTGACCAAGGCCTTCCTGCCCCTGATTCGCAGGGCTAAAGGTACCTGCTGAGCAGCGAGGCAAGAGCCACAGCGCTTCTGCACCACAGCCGAGACAAGTAGTTAACAACTATGGATCAAATTCAGCTTTGGGGAATGCCTGTGCAGCCCAGCGAGGGAGGCTTTGGTGTCTGAGGCACRCAGCAAGGTTGTGTGCTGTGCTAGGATTCAGTGGAGTCATGGGTCATCCRGGGAGGCTGCCCAGGCACTGACACAGCATGGGCTGTCTTGAACATCCCAGGGTCACAGCAGTGCTCGTGCAGTGCTCACAGCTATGATGCAGGACCTGTGGGGCACCTAGACCTTTAGGACCAGTAATYAGAGGCCAGGCATATGATACCTTGGCCTGCAAAGTGGCACCAGGGGCTTATACTGGAACCAYTTCCCTCATGTCACTTGGTTTGTGGTTGTTTGCAAAGCTGTAGTGTTGGAATAAATGACAGTAACCGAGTCATTTTAGCTGTCTTGCAGAAAGGCAGTATTATCAGGTCTTTTTTTTAATATAAGAAATGTGACGTGTATGAGCAGAACTCTGAAGGGTTTCTTTAGTGTGTGTGGGAGAAGGCTGGCACAGCTGTGTTCTGTGAGGACAGAAAGGGGTTGCACTGAGAGGATTTCTCAGCTGCTATTTCCAGAATGTAAGTACCTGTTAAATAAGCCCCATCAGGCCAAYATGTGGTTCTTACAGGCCCTCTGAGCTGCACTTAGGTCTTGGGTGAGAGAGTGGAGCCTCCCTCATGATTCTCAGCTAAAATCTTAAGCTCTGAAGGAATGTACTCCATGACTGTGATTGTCCTCTCTKCAAAAGTAACTGATGGGATGTGAAGGGATTTTTGTAAATGCAGCTGAAACCATAACTGCAGGTGGCTTGGTCTTAGCAAAGGATGGAGTGACCACTATTGTCACTGCCCCTGGACAGAGCATGAGCTGTCATGAGCTGCCAGAGCTCTGTGGGTGCCTGCCCAGGGCTGCTGGCAGGACACTTTTCTTTTTCAAAAAGCAAAGCATAGCAGCCCCGTGTGTCTCTTCTCCTTGTGTCCCTGCACAGAGCTCTGTGCKTGCTCCCGGCTGGCCACATGGGTGAAGAAACTGCACTGCTGGTGCTGCAGGCCAAGGGCTCCATGCACCCAGCTTGGGTCAGAAGCAGCAGAGCTGCACCAGGCTGCGGCCGAGCTTGTGCTCACAGAGAAGCTGGGAAGCTCGCACGGCATCGCAGCCCTGCACCTCCCAGCCTGTAGCCCTGCTGCCTGTGAGCTTGAGCCCTGCCCAGCAAGGTGGAGGAGAGGGGCACGCTGGGGTAAGAGCAAACAGCTACTAGCACCTCACTATCTGGCTACTGCCTCGCTTGGAAGCTAGGAAGGTGGCAGTGCATTGCATGCTTTATGGATGCCCATCCTTTTGGATGTGAAGGCAATGTTCAGTGTGTCATCCATGTAGGACACAGGCTTGCTTGAATCGGGACGTAGGGGCTCTTTGAGAGGGGATTTGGGCACCCCTCAGGAGATTCACATTTTACAAATGGCATCATCCAGTACAACAACTTTTAATGGGGTGGTTTGGCCTCCTAGCTGAGAGCAGCAGCTGAYTGTCTCCCCCGCTCCTCCCGCCGCAGGCCGCGTGGTGAACGTCGCCAGCATGCTGGGGCGGATGGCAAGCCCGTCTCGCTCCTGCTATTGCATTTCCAAGTTTGGGGTCGAGGCCTTCTCCGACTGCCTCCGGCAGGAGATGTACCGCTGGGGCGTCAGGGTCATCCTCATCGAGCCCAGCAACTTTGTGGCGGCGACGGGCATCCTGACGGCAGCGAGCGTCGAGGCGGAGGCCGAGGYGCTGTGGCACGGGGCTGGCGACACGGTGCGCGAGGACTATGGCCACGCGTATTTCGCTCGCCACGTGGCCCTCATGAAGTCCTTCGTCGGCAGCGGCTTGAAGGACATGTCTCTGGTCTTGAACGACATCACCGAGGCACTCACCTCGGCGCGCCCCAAGCACCGCTACAACCCCATGGAGCCCTACTGGTGGGTGAGGCTGCAGGCTGTGACGCACCTGCCCACRGCCCTCGCCGACTGGCTGTACATTCCCGGGGCCACGCTGTGACGGGGCGTCCCTCAGGCATCCTCCTGGCACGCACACACACATGGGTTAGAGCTGACTCRGTCACGACTGCTCCGCACCCCGTGCTCGTGCATCTGCAGGTGCACGTGTTTGCACTCGGGGTTATGGCTTCAAGTCTTGTGGGATATGGATCAAGGCAGGGCGTTTCTGGCTCCTTGTTCTTGTTTTCCCCGATGCTCTGATTAAAGTTGAAAGGTGTTTTCCTTTTGGCTGTGGCAGAAGGTTAACATAATGGGTCAAATGCATGGCTGGTGTAATTAGTTCAACAGTCTCCCCAGTGATAAATTCGGCTCATCAATGGGCCCTTGCTTTTGCTTACAAGGAGAGGCTCGTGGGGGCACAGCAGAGCTGTTGCTAAGAGATGTATCAAAGGGAGAAGCTAAAATGGGAAACAAAAGCAGAGTTTCCATTTGATGGAAAATGGGTCAGTCGCAGCCTTCCTTTGTTTTCCTGGAACTGCTGGGAGGGTTGGCTGCTCTTTCTAAGAAAGCAGCAATGCTGCCTCTAAAGAGCCTCCTTACCCTGGTCTGTGGGTTGGTGATGGGGGTCCCTGCAGGGAAGGGTTCTTCCCTCGCCACACTGTGACCAGAGCCAGCGAGTCAGCAATTGCAGAGCGAGCTGCTCTTTCCRGATCATAGTTTTGGTTTCATGAATTTGAACAGCAGGTGCAGCGTGGCCATGTGCTCTGGGTGGGTGCTTTAAGTGCCTCCTCCTTTTCCTTTCTTTAATATCGCACAATGAAATTTCCATGTCATGCCTGATTGCCTCCTCACAGAGTTTCCTGACAACTGTGGTTCCTGATATGAGCTGTTTTGCACACAGCATCCCCAAGGGTGTCCTCTTGGCCAGAACCAGGTTTTTCAATCATTTCACCAAGGGCTGGGGCTGCCTGGCTTCCTGCTGTTTCCCCTTTCCAAGCGGCAGTGCCTGGTATGGCTGGCACTGACTCCAGGCACTGCTGGCCAGAGCAGCAAACTAGTCTCTCCTTCTAGAACATGGGCACTCTTGGACCAGCTTCCCATTGTACTGCTAAACCTTGTTCAGACCTCATCCTACATGAGATTAAGTGCCTTGAAAATCTTAACATTTGCTCTATATTCATCTCRGCTCTAAACTGAAATTGTCTTAGAAACTTTTTGTATGCTGCTGTAGCTGCTTGGTGTCTGGATGGAGCTGTGAGTGTTGTGCTGCCTGGGGAGAAAAGCAGGCTTCCCTGGGAGGTGCTGTGGAGATGGTCTGTGTAACAAACAATCCTGCAGGTGCTGGCTGTGCAGTTCTTTATTGCAGATCATCAACACACAGAGGCTGTCTGGGATCCAGGACTTGGAATGATCCCTCTTTCCCACTGAACTGTGGCTTGTTTGAACAGTATTGTAATCACTTCTGTCCCCTGCACCATAAAATGTGAGTAACATTAACACTAATTTGCACAGAGAAAAATAAACTGAGATTTATCAAGCACACATCCATGTTTCCAGTGCTTATGTCTACGCTAGTGGTGTGGGGTTTTTTTTGTTTGGTTGATTGTTTTTCTCCAGAATTGGGCTCAGAGATTAAGGAGTGTTGGATGGGCTCTGCACACGGTGAGACTGGGAGCACAGTGAGAACAGCCTACGGTAGAGTGGACAACATGGCCCAGACTCTGCAGAGGGAGCACAGCTGCTGTCTGCCGTGTGCTCACAAATGCCAAAGGCTCTTGGGGGCCCTGAAGTGAGAGATGGTTCATGTGTGTGGCAGCAGGTTTACTCATCGTGCTCAGCACCAGTAACAGGAGTGACCTGAGCTGTTTTGTGCTGGCTGCTTTGTGGCACCTGAGCAGGGGAGTTGCTCGAGTTCACATGCAGGCAAATCCATGGATTTGCTTGCTGATATCCTGTCAGCAAAGGACTTTGGAGCTCATGTCCAAGGTGAGTGCTTAGTTCGTCAGTCCAGCTCTTCTCTGCAAGCTTGCTTTGCACTGAAGAAGTGCTGAGCACAAGATCTCTCCTCTACATGCTTTGGGAGGATGCTCACGGGTGAGAGGTGCAGACTGGTGCTGGAAGAGCAAGTATCGAATGTTTCTCTACAGTTCTGTATGGTTCATAAACCCTGCGCAGCAAAGGCCAGATGACTGAGCAGGTTCATTTCCATCTTGTATTTCCAGCAGCTGTTCAGTGTTCTGTGAAAACTGGATTTTCATCTTGTGAGGCTGCTGGGGAGAGGTGGGGAGAGCCCTATGCAAGAGYGGATCAGCTTATTATTGTTATTGTACTTTCATTCCCTGTGTATGCTGGCCTCTCAATTTGTTTATTTTGTGTTTTCCTCTTTCTGAAGAAATGGTTGTAGACAAAGCAGTCATCTCCAAAATTTGCTGTATGCATGAGGAAAACTGACGTGAGGAAGAAAAAGGATTGACTTGCTAGAGATCCTATAGTGCTTCTTAGAAATTCTGTTATCCGGAGGATTCCAGCGTAATCTCTGTCTCCTGCTGTTTCAGCTGAACATCCAGCTTCTGCAATGCTGTGGTATTGAACCATAAAAAGAAAAGAGCCAGGCTTATGCCAAGAATTGCTTCCTTCGGATCGTGGCACTCCTGGGTCTTTTGACCTCATTACACGCTCATTRATTTGTGTGACCCCAGGTCAGGAGGCGCCTGTGGGAAGTGGTCCTGTGTCTGCAGCGTTTGCTGTGGTTGAGCTGCACGCAGCAAGGGGTGTGATCCACTCGCCACCACTAGCTGCGGGCTCTCTGTGCTGGTGGCTCCCAGTGTGTCCCTACCTCATGGCACCTGTGTTCCTGACTTACTCTCAACATGAAAACACACTGACTGTAAATGGAGAGGGGAATTTAGAAGGCAAAATACTTGCTGCAGGTGAAAGGAGTGAAGATGGTCTCTGAATGCAGAAGGCAGAAGGCTGAGTGGCAGGAGCTGCAGAGGAAGTGGTTTGTGTTGGGCACGTGGTGTACGTAGGGACAGGAGGGCAGACTTGGCTATGGAGATCTCTCGTTGATGGTCTCGCATCTTGTGTTTATCTGTACAAGGAACTGCACAGACAGGATGGTTGCTCCCTCCTCTGGGCTTTGAAAGACTTTGCCACTGTTGTGAATGGCTAAAACCCTAGGACTGTTTTTCTCTTGAAGCTGAAGAGCTTAAGCAGTTGCAGAGCTGGTATATTATACTGGTATATATACTGTGCCAGATAGTAGTGTGTAATATATTGGGTTGTACTGGGGAAAATCAGCATTTGGAGAAGTGTGTGCAGGCATAGGATGTGATTTCTCTTGGGTAAGGGTGCTAGTCAGAGTACTCCCATATGCTTCCAAGTGATGGCCAAAGTTATCAAAGAGAAATAGCAGCACTATCAATTGGAGGGAAAAAAAGTTTTAATTTTTTTTTTTTAACATATCAAATGGCGATTAGAAAGCTGTATTAAAAATCTCCATGATGAGCACAGGAGGATAAAACCACTGCTGAGGCTCTGCCTTGTGCAGAGAGGTGCTGAGCCGGCAGTGCTGCAGGCAGCGTAGGGGAGCAGGGCGCCTTGGTGAGCCCTCTTTGCATGAGGGGAGCCCTGTCACGGCATTGCTTCTTCCAGGCAAACCCGGCAGCTCCGTGAGCCAGCTCCGCGGCGCTGCCATCCAGGGCACCTTGAAACACGGCTCTCATCTGACATCGTGGAAGCTGGAAGACTTCGGAGATACAGGATGGTTTTCTCTCTCCAGCTTGGAGATCCCAACCTGAACGCCATGATGTTGTGTAAATAGAAATCCTGCTGCCTGCTGTTTTGCAACAAGAAAGCTGAGAAGTGCAATAGCAACAAACCCAAATGAACGTTAGCAAKTGTCTCAGCTAGCAAGCAGGCACCGTGAATTGAAGAGACCTGCAAGTAGCATGAAACTTTGTGACTGAGCCAGCTCCACCTCCAGGGTTTGACCTTGTGCCGGATACAGTTTGTTTGTTCTCAGCAGTGCTGGAAAACCCACAGGGATGCAGCCATCTTGTGATCTTGCCCAGTCACTTGTTGAGGAAGGTAAAGCTGTGTCTTCACCTATAAACATGGGTGTGAAATAAGTTTCTCCCTGTCAGTAGTGTACTGGGAAGCACAAGGAGGCTGTGCAGGTCTCCTTCATGCCCGCCCATCCGTGTGCAGTTCCTTCTCTTACAGTGTCTTAAAATTAATGAGCCGATTCTTCAAATCATTATTTGGGTGTAGAGACGGACACGCACTGATCTGTGAGCACATTGTCTGCTGCAGGGAGCCCTGCAATGGTGCTGGCCGACGGCGTCAGCCGCGCACGCTGGGGAACATGGAAGTGCTTCTSCAGGAACTTCCCGCCAGCCCCCAGCACTGCTCGTAGGACACTTCTGTTGTGTGGGTTTGTCTTCTGTTGACAAGCAGAAGGGAGCCCAGGAAAGGTCCGTAGATTGGRGCACTAGCAAGTGACACCAGTTGTGCTTGAGTGCCCATTGCTGGGTGTCTTGAACATGAACCTCCCAAGCCTGCCTTGTCTGTGCTGCTTAYGAGGAGCTGGGCAGGCTGCAGGCTGGGCTGGGTGTCCCATGCAGCCGCTTCCTTGCTCTGCTCCAGCTTTCTTATCCCCTTCCAGCAGCTCTGGCTTCCACCAGAGCCACTTATAAGGGGCCGGCAATAACGTGGCCTGTGGCRTCACAGTGCCCGGGTGGCACTGCAGGGTTCCGGCACCTTCTGCCAGCCGCGTTCCCAGCGACAACGTGGCCTCCTGGCGCAGGCAGCCGCCCCAAGAGCCCAGCTGCCCTGCGAGCTGTGGGTCGGTAACTGGCCAGCAGAACCTCGGTGGTCTGCGAAGGCTGGAAAGCGCTGAAGGAGCAGGTCYGAGAGGTGATGTGGGTCTGGGCACGGGGCGGACAGGGGCTGGCAGGGGAGCTGGGGTGCACCCCAGGGGTTTTCACCACGGGCTCTGCACAAGGGCCTTCCAACCACTGCTGCCTTTCCCTGCCCGCCAGGGATGTGAGCAGAGCGCAGTCCCGAGGCAAAATGCTGCAGCTGATGGGCTCGCGGCTGCGCCTGCGCTGCGCGGGGCGGCTCTGGGCACAGCGCGCGGCCAAGGCAGCCTGCAGGTACTGTAACCACGCGTGTGACGAGTGGCCAGGCCGCCCTTCCCGCCCTGTGGGGTGGCTTGCCTTGCCTCACAACACTGAGCGCATGCCTCAGGATGTGCAGTATTGCCCTCTCTGTCCTTAACAGAGAGGCTCTTGGTGCTCTGGTCCATCCAAATGGCCTGGGCAGGGTTCTGCTGGTCTCTCTTCTGATCACGCGGGTCATGGTCCTAGTGCGGGAGCCCCTGCTGCCAGGCAGGCCCCAGCCCCAGGGAATGGCCCGTGCAGCGTGGCCGGGCAGCCTGCGGCTGGCACTAGCCCGGCMGGTCCCTCGCAAGTCACCGTGGCGCTGTCCCCGCAGGCCGCCGTGCGCTGCAGCGCTCCCCAGGGCCGGATACTCCAGCCGCGCGGAGACGGTGAGTCAGGCGGCAGCGCCTGTTGGCCGTGGAGCCGCAGGGAGCTGCGGCAGGGCTGCCCCTAGCGCCGGGTGCTCTGGCGGCGAGGATCTGCCATGGCCAGAGGGCTCCTGGCGTGTCCTTGACACCCGGCGCGCTGGGAGCAGCGTGTCATCGGAGCAGCTGACGGGCAGTTCTGGGAAAGGAGGGGGCACCTGGGGACACGCAGAACTTTTCCATGGGGACGGCGGCAGCYGTATCCTCGCCGTGCCCCTGCCTCGCCACGTGCTGCTGGCCCAGGCGYTGGCCAGGGCTCTGCAGCTGCTCCCRGCAGGGCTCCCCACGCTGTCACGCAGCCCCAGTCCCTGTCCCGCTGGCTCCTGCCCTCGGGCATCTCCTGTGCCAGGGCAGGCCTTTGCCACGGCACCACCTCTTCTCTCTTCTAGGAATCCAGCTCCTTTGTCAGAAACATCTTCAATGGGCAGCTTGTTCCTGCCAACGTTTTCCCTTTCCCCTCAGGTGGGTCCTATTCAAGGGTTTGTTACTGGTGCCGTTTGCCACCGTTTGTCCCTGGCCTAAGCAGTGGTGCAGCGGGGCTYGTGTCCATGTGGGCACGTGGCCAGGCTGCCCCGAGGAGCCTCCTGCTCGGGGGAACAGCACTCCCTGGGAATGGCAGAGGCGGCGCGGGCGGCCCTTGGCAGCGGGCCCCGAGGCGGCAGCCGAGGTGTGAGGCTGCCCGCGCTGCTGACTCACCGTGGAGCGCGTGGTCTCCCCACACTTGGCAAAGTCAAGGGCTGGAGAAGGTAACGAGGCTAAAGGATATGGTGCCAATCAGGCCGTCCTCCCTCAGCTCTTACAGAGGAGGAAACGCAGTCCCTGCGAGCCTTGCTGGATCCCTGCACCCGCTTCTTTGAGGTCAGTAGCATCCTCCGGCCCTGCAGGYATCTGAGGATATGCTGATACTCGGACACACCTGCACATAAACCTATGCCCGTATGTGCACAGTCATGTGTGTGCACAAATATCTACATGCACATGTACAGGCACACATTCACACACACAGAGACATGTGCACAGCTGCACCTATTGCATGYATGTCTATGGATGGCAGCGTGCATGTGAGCACATCTACGTGCAAATATGCATAAACCTGTGGACCCTCATGTTCCTGAGCAGGTGTGCCTGTGCATATTCCTAAATGCACAAATTCCATACATTTCTACATGGATGTGTACATGCACACATTCACAGCCTTCCTTGCTGTTATCCTGGAAAACTGTAGCATTAGTTTTAGACTGGAGAGTCCTTGGCCTGCAGCAGTGGAGGGCTTTGTGTAAGTTGTCTCCTGAGCCAGAAGGGAACACACAGAAGGAGGGGCTGGTGAAGGGAGGACACAGATGCCCCATGATACTTGGGCTTTCCCCTCATTGCTGCAGGCTGCAGGGTCCTGGTACTGCTGCTGGAAGTACTTCCCTTCCTACCTCCCTTCCAGGCCAGAACTGGGGATCCCCCCGACGCCCTCCCTGTTGAACAGGGGGTATCAGCCCCTTGCTCATCCTCTCTGGTTCCTTGAAGGAGGTGAACAAGCCTGCTGCAAATGAGAAGCTGGAGTCCATTGAGGAGGCTACCCTGGCAGGCCTGAAAGACCTGGGAGTCTTTGGGCTGCAGGTGCCTGTGGAGCTGGGGGGCACTGGGCTGAAGAACAGCCAGGTAAGGAGCGCCCTGGCCAGGGCCCTGCGCAGGGGGCTGTGTTCCTGGGGCACAGGGGACAGCAGGTCAGTGACCGGACTGTGGTGGCAGCAACAGGTCCAGGTCTGCAGCAGCGGGGTTGGGGACCCCTTTTCCATGAGGGGAATGCATTGGGCATTTCCCTGCATTGGGCAGGGGTGCTGTCGGAGGTGGTCTGTCTCCCGCAGTACGCCCGCCTGGTGGAGGTGGTGGGACTGCATGACCTTGGCGTGGCCATCAGCCTTGGGGCGCACCAGTCCATCGGCTTCAAGGGCATCCTGCTCTTCGGGACACCGGAGCAGAAGCAGAAGTACCTGCCCCGGCTCGCCTCCGGTAGGGCACGTGCGGGAGCCACCACTCGGTCCCTGCTTGCAGCCAGCGYGCCGGGCTCGCGGCTCCCGCTGCTCCCGCGTGCCCGGCATCCTCAGCGGAGCTGCGGGTGCGGGAGCCATAGGCAACATGGGCTCATGGCATGGTTAGGCCCCTGAGAAATGTCCACCCGAGGGTGGTGGGTGCCAGGCTGTCCTCCCCGGTCCCCGCCGCATACACGCGGTCATCCCCGGGTGCCAGCGGCYGCAGCGCAGCCCGAGCGCCGCACGCGGTCCTTGCGCGGCTGGGCCCCAGCCTGCGCCCCGCTGGCTGCTCCCTGCCCACTGCAGGGCAGACCGTGGCTGCCTTCTGCCTGACGGAGCCCGCCAGCGGCTCGGACGCCGCCTCCATCCGCACCGTGGCCGAGCCCAGCCCCTGTGGCAGCTTCTACACCCTCAACGGAGAGAAGATCTGGATCAGGTGAGGCCTGGGACAGGCACGTCCTGCTCCCTCAGCGAGGGGTCTTACCCCAGAGCCTAGGCTGGACAGTGTCTGCTTCTCTGTAAGGCTAGTTTGGTGGGCTCTTGTCACTTATATAGAGAGTAGTTGGTTTTATTGCTGTTGTCCCTCGTAAAACAATCACTTGTGTGATGCACAAAGTCTGTGGAGAAGAGAGAACCAATGCAATGATATATAGGCTGCACAGAGAAACGCTCTCCGCTTTTTTGTCTGCTTTGTGTTGCAGTAACGGAGGGATAGCTGAGATCTTCACTGTGTTTGCCAAGACACCAATAAAAGTAGAAACAGGTGAAACAAAAGAAAGAATTTCTGCTTTCATCGTGGAGCGAGCGTTTGGGGGAGTAACCAGGTAAGAGTTGGTCTATGTTGATGGGATGCAAAGACCTTGGCCCAGGACAGCAATCCAGCAGTTCTCATCCTGTCTCAGCCCCTGGCTTGCAAAATGTTCTGAGCAAATCACTCTGCCGGTGCCGAGCTCCCTCACCAGCCCAGCCATCTGTGTCACTATCCTGTCCACGTTGGAAAGTTAAAAAAAGCCAATCTTTAAGCATCACAAAATGAGCCAAACAGTATTGCATTGCTCTTGTAACTGCTGTCAGAATAGCCGCTAGCTCTTTGTGTTTCCATAGACTGAATTACTGTTTTATGGTGGAACAGAAAGTGGTGTCAGTGTCCAGCCTTCCCTGGGAAGACTGCTAGAGATGACTTATAAAGTTCTCTGAACTTCTGTAGCCTTGGGGAGGGAKATGCCAGCGTTACGGGCAGACGTTAGCGCTGCCAGTTGCTTTCAGCCTGGCTGCCCTGAAGTTAACCATCACTCATCAAGCACGTGCCCGTGACCTTGAACTGTGGCTCGTGGGAAGCTCTGCATTGTCCTTCAGCACGTATCGTTAGGGCTGTCCTCACAGAGTGACCATGTTTCACGGGGTGCTCATGGTACTTGTCACCTYGGGGGTGAAATGCTGTGTGAGAAGTTGTTCTCCTGGTGAGACTTTAACCAGAGTTACTATGACAATGGGTCAGCAGACTGCCAGCTCCTCGTGCCCCTGCATTTCTTGCCTGATTTCCAGCTGCTCAGAGGTGCTCAACCATTCTGTGCCCAGCAGAGCACATTCCCCTGCTGCTCCTAATGACGTTTAACCCCAACCCTTGCACACTGCAGCTGTTTGCTCCAAGAAGCATGACTAAAAAGGGAGGAAATAAGGATAGGGAATGCCTCCTATGTGTGCTCATCCTGGCAGGGGTCCTGGCCCGGCGCCTGCACGGAGCAGAGTCCCTTCAATCCCTCTCACCTAAGGGAGGACTGGACGCCCCGTCCCATTCCCGCTGCCATCCTGTCTGTGCGCAGCAGATGGTGCAAGTTCCTGGGGGGTGAAGGAGGCTCTTGTCCCCAGCCCCACATCTGCATGTGCCTTGCAGCAGCCTCCACAGCCACGTGAGTTGCTGCAATTGTGCGGGGCAACTGTAACTGTCTGTCCCACTTTATCTCATCTCTCCTGGGGACCCCTATACCTGTGCAAATGCCAAAATGGTACATTCATAAAGCCATGCACAAAATGCACGTGTTTGCTTTGTGGCCTTCCAGAGCCTCCTCTCTCTGCTTCTGTTCTGTGTTCGTAGCGGCCCTCCAGAGAAGAAGATGGGGATCAAGTGCTCCAATACAGCTGAGGTTCACTTTGATAATGTGAAAGTGCCTGCAGAAAATCTGCTGGGGGGCCTCGGGAAAGGCTTCAAGGTGGCAATGAATATACTGAATAACGGCCGTTTTGGGATGGCGTCTGCCCTGGCTGGGACCATGCGAGGAGTGATCGTCAAGGCCGTGAGTTGCTCCTTGGCAGGAGGTTGGATAGTGCGGCGGCTCGGCTCTGTGGGACGCGGTGGCCCCGAGGTGTCATCACGTGGGGCGATGGTCTGTCAGTCCCATCAGCTTTCTTGGGGTCAGCGCTGGTGTGGAGATGCTGCTGGCAGCTGCTGCTACTCACATGGGGATTTACTGCCAGACCCTGTGCACACGCACAAAGCATTTCTCCATCCTCCTCTCCCTCAGCGCTCTCAACCTCTGCCCTAAGCCCCAGCCTCATGCACCTTCGACAGGTTTTCTTGCCGCACATCTTCACTGACAAGTGAGGCCCTGTGTCTGTGCCCTGTAAAGCTCATCCCAACCTGGTTTTCACTCCTGTGGCAATTTTCCGTGGTCACATGTGAACTGCCTGGTTCCTTCAAGCTTTGGGGACAGCTGTAGCTACCTGCAGGTGCTATCAGGAGCAGGGAAGTGGCTTGTGAATGCTGCAGGAGGCAGGTATGGCAGCTTGGCACACCCYGGTGCTGCTCCTGGTTCTGGCAGGCTCTGCCTGCCTGCAGACACTCCCTGCCAGCCCTGTCTGTGCACGGGCACTTGTAGGCTCCAAACCAGCCCCAGGCTCCCACCCCGAGGAAGTTCCCATGACACTGTTGAAACTGCTCTATTCCATGGGTAACAAATACTGTGTGAGAATAATTATGGCTGGGCATGCATGGCATGACGGTCACAAACCTGTTTGCAGAAACATTTAAGCTAATGGAATAAAGCATCTGTTGTCTCACCCCAAGTCTCTTTACCCTGAAATAGATGCCTGGCTAATATCCCTAGAGAGGGAAACACAGATAAAAGCATCTTTAACACTGTCTAAAGCAGTATTTCTGACAAATCTCCTGACTTGTTTGATTCAAACTCCCATGAATGGTATCTCTGTGCCACCTCAGAGTGTAGCTATGTATTGAAACAAAGTCAGAGCATTGACTACTGAATTTGTTGTTTATTTCTTGTTTAATGTAAACTCCGCTCTAGCAAACACTCGGGCCTGTGTTTGAGYGTGCTCAGGCTCGGTGGCCTCAGTGCAGCTATTCACGGGCACAGCCGAACACATGTGCCTGTGTTCTGAGGGGTCTGCGGGCCGTGTTGAGCTGTGTGACTTGCTCCTTCAGAATGGAGATGCTTAAAAGTCTCTCCCACCTATGGTGTGAGGTTAGGGGGTTCGGCAGTGGCTACTGGAAGTGATGGGCTGTCCTAATGGAAGAGTCTGTCGGGGCATTTCCCAGCCTCAGCTTAACTTGCTGGCTTGGGACCTTATACCTGATCCACTCCAAAATGCCGCCTTTGCTGACCTGAACCAAAAGACAGAACCCTGTGAGTTCTGGCAGAAATCAGAGAAAGCAACAAGTGGGATTTGCAGCCTCCAGGAGGGAAAGACTGGGTTGCTTCCAACCCCTGTTAAAGTAAGCAGCACAGCAAGGGTTCAGGTGGACGTATAGGGGCAACTCTGCAGTTGCTTCCTTATAAAGTTCCCTTCTCAGTGAGCCCTGTGTCCCCTCTCGGCCCCTTCTCGCTGTGGTAACGCGCTCCTGTGCACCGCTAGGCCGACCATGCCGCTAACCGCACGCAGTTCGGGGACAAGATCAGCAACTACGGGGCCATTCAGGAGAAGATCGCCCGCATGGCCCTGCTGCACTACGTCACGGAGGTGAGAAATGCTTCGGCCCCGATGAGCGGGGGCTGATGGTGCTGGGCTCAGCACGGCCGTGCCTTCCCGCCCGGGCAGACCTTGCCCAGGAGCCACGGCCTCACAGGCAGCTCCTCCGCAGTCAATGGCCTACGTGCTCAGTGCCAACATGGACATGAAGGTGTCTGACTACAAGCTGGAAGCTGCCATCAGCAAGGTTTTTGCTTCGGTGGGTGTTTTTAATGACAGCGTGTCACGTTTCCGCTGACAGGACCTGAGCGCTGCCTTCTGCTGCCACCCCTCGTTGGGGAGGGACAAGCACCAGGGGCTGGCAGTGGCTGTTAGCCCCAGGGAAGGCTCCTCTCCTCGGTTCAGCATCTCTTCTTGCCCGATCTCTCWGAGTGTGTGAGGTGGACAGGGTCCCTTGGTTGGAGACATGACGCTGAAGGCCAGGGCAGCTCCCTGCTTGACCGCTTGGCTTGCAGCTCCCTGCATGTGGTCCTGGCCCCCAGCCCTGCTTCTCTTTGTGCTGCTGACCATGGCCCAGCTCGGGTGGAAATGCAGCCAGARGCCTGTTCTGGCTGTCCCAGGATGACTGCCTGCTGCTAGTAACGTAATACCAGCCCAGGATCACCTCCCACATGTGCCTAGTAGTAGCGTCGGTAGCTGGGGTACAAAGAGGGGGAGCAGGAGCAGAGCCTTYGGGGTGACTGCTCCCAGTGGCTGCATTCAAGTGGGGTATGTTCCCGTGTTGCTGCTTGATGTGTTTATCCCTAGGAAGCGGCCTGGCACGTTGCGGATGAGGTTATCCAGGTCCTTGGAGGAATGGGATACATGCAGGTAAAGCAAGGAGGGCTGGCAGGCAGGCRGGGGAGAGCGAAGGGCGCTGGGTGAGGCTCTGTGGTCGGTAGTTCCTGGTGCTCTGCGTCCCTTCCTTGCCGTGACCCTGGCAGCCGGCAGATCCCACTTGGCTGGAACATCCCCCTCATTGCAGGAGGCAGGCGTTGAAAAGGTCATGAGGGACTTGAGGATTTTCCGCATCTTTGAGGGCACCAACGACATCCTCCGGCTGTTTGTGGCATTGACAGGCGTCCAGGTGAAGACCCGAAGCGATCTCTGAGCTGGGGTTTTTCCCTCCTGAAAGGCTGCAGGGGCTCCAGCCGCAGGAGGAGGAGTGGGAGCTCCCGGCTGCACTGTGATGGGCGCTGGCCGCGTGGCTAGGAGCCCACGGGCGCCCTGAACCGGCCGGGCGCCGTCCGGCCATGGGGGCGGGAAGGGCTGCGGGTCCGCTCGAGCACAGACCTCAGAGCGGGCAGGAAACAGTGTCCTGCTGGAGCGCCCACACCCTGGCAGCTGGGGGTCCTTGGGGGTCCCCAAGGCCATTCACGCCGCCCCTCTGAGGACTGGGGACTGAAGTGCCACCCTCGCATCTGGACAGAGAGCCACGCTTCCTGGCTCGTGCATGAGGGCCCTGAGCCTACTACCTTGTGCAGCAGTGTTCTGAGGAGGAGGAGTGAGGGCTACGGGGGTATCGAGAGTCTGAAAACACATCTGAACTCAGTGGCTTGTGGCTGAGATGATTTCAGTAACCTGAAGGCCAGCTCAGGTCTGCGCACACAGCAGGATTTGGGAACAGGATCCGAGTTCACTTCACCAGCCGTCTCACATGTCAGTGCTCCTCTCCATTTCCCTGCTGAGGGCTCCTGGGAGCTGATCTCCCTTCCTGAAGGGCTCCGTGCTCAGCTTGCAGCCTGTGCTCGGCATTAAGTGCTGTATAAAAGCCCAGGATTCTCATCGGCAAGCTGATCCTCACCGATGTCCTGGCAGTGTGAAGCCCTGACAGTGCTCAACACAGTGATGCTCGTTGCCCATGGAAGCAGAAGAGGGCTCTGTGAATGTGCTGTGCTCGCGTGCGGACCCGTGCCCTGGCACCGCGTCTGCGCAGCCGCACAGATCCCAGGGGCAGCTTTGAATGCCAACTCTGGCCTCTGATACTCTTCCTTTTGCCTTGGTTCTGGATCCCAGATCATTAGTGTGAAAGCAAAAAGCTCTGCATGTGTTCTTGTGAATATGAATTATTCCTCTGGTACAAGGGGCACTAGCCTAATCTGAGAGATGTTCTCTTGTTTCTTAAGGCAATCAATTCTGTTTTCTTTTTCAATAAGTCAAATTTTTGTTACAAGCACATTRTAAATACATATCATGGGGAATATAGGTTGTATTTAGGTCATATCAAACATGATACAACAGTGTAACTGCACTGATGTACTCCTGCACTAAATAGGTTTTAAATAGTCTTAGTTGGCCATCCAGTTAGCAGACCCGGTAGTGCTCTGAGCTGATCATTGTGCTCCCTCCAGGGGAACAGAAGGTGCCTGTGCAGCGGGAGCAGGGGGTTTGCTACGGGATGGTGTTTAAAGCATTTGCCATGTGTTTCAGTATGCTGGAGGCTGCTTAAAGAACCTGCAGAAACGCCTCACGAGCCCGCTCGGGAGCGTGCGCGCTCTGCTCCGCGAACTGGGCTGGAGAGCCAAGCGGTAAGCGGCACCCGTGTGGGCCYGGCTGCCTGCGGGGCTGGCTCCGGCACGGAAATAGCGCCGGGAGCGGAGAGGGGCAGCGTGGGGAGCAGAACGGGAGCTCCGCGATGGGCAGCACCGGAGGGAGCTGCTCTGCTGGAGCCACAGCCGCCGCGGGTTGCGGATGCGCAGCCTTCCGGAGCGCCCCGTTGGAGCGCAGCACCCGCTCCTGCTGTGCTGGGAGGTGCAGCCTGCCYGCTGCTCCCGCTGCTGCTCCTGCTGCTGCTGTGGCACTGCTGCCAGCAAGAACGGGACGAGGCTGCCCGCGCCTGCTGTGCGCGGCACCCCCTGTGCCGTGTGGGGTAACATGGCAGCAACGTGGGGGAAAAACTAACTTTTGTAGCATAAGGCTGACCTTGGTGTGAGACACACCTGGGACATGCTGAGGAGCCAGGGTGAAGGTCACTGTCTGAGCTCTAGTTTTTATGGTGAGCGTGTCCACAGGRCTGAAACGCTCCAGGGCCAAAGTTTTGTTTCTGGCTTAGATGTGACTTTGCAGTGTAGTTCTCAACAGAGACTTGTTTTCTCTCTATTTTACACCTCTTTGTCTTTTTTTTTTTCTTTTTYCTTTTCTCTATTTCATTTTTCTATTTTCAGGAAAGTAGGGGTCTCTTCTGGCTTCTCTCTCCAGGGACTTGTTCATTCAGACCTCAACAGCAGTGCAGTCCAGGTAGGAGGGTCTTCCTCAGAGCTGAACCACAAGAGCTGCTGTTCCTGAATTAGAGGGCTCATCCCTCAAATAATGACAACATATATATRTTTATATTTAGTTMGTTTTATAAGTTCTTAAATCTCTCAATTTAGTTCCCAACATTTGGAAGTTTTCCAGGGTAGCAAGCTACTCACTAATTTTTGTGGATGTGAATCATCCGTGCACCTGAACATGTTTTGTGCATTTGCTTTGGACTGAGTTCCCACATCCCACAGGCCATTTCACGCTTCCAGGGTTTGTTTGTTTCCTTGGGTGTCACAACTGTAATTTTACACCATTTTGCATGAACAGGTCTCAAGGCACTTTCTGCCACTCCTAGAAACAGAGGGAAATTCCCCCCTTCCCTCCCTTTCCCTGCCTCATCTACAAGTTCAGTTTTGCTCTTTTGCTTTCTCCTGGAAAGGAAACGGGGCTTTGGGCAGATCCTACAAGCTGCAACTTGTATGTGGAAACAAGCTGCTTGTGCTGTTGCACCTGAGACCCTCAACGCTGTCTTTGGACCTGCTCCAGTGCTGGGAATCTCTAGGCAGGACTCCAGCCTCAGGGGCTTCTTTCCCTGGACCTGTCCTGACACGGACAGGAGTGGTCAAAGACACTGTGTGCATGGGCAGCTTTTCCTGGTGCTTGCTTTGAGTTTGAACCCCAAAGCTCAAGAGCTCCTCTGATACCAAGGGCTCCTTTCCCCCATAACTGCCTTGGGGGGAGACACAGGGTGGTCTGTGGTATCTGCACATCTCATGCAGCTCCTGAGAACACAAGATTTGGGTTAAAGGCAACAATGAGTGATATGTTACACTTTGGGCAAATTCGCTTAAAAAGCCCCCTGAGCTAGCTGCAGTGGTTAGGAAACCTGCCGTGTATAATCCCTACAGGGATCTTGCCCACATATCAAAGTTGGAGTGTCAGTGCCCTAATCCAGCCCTATGGTGGTCCAGGGACGAGGACAGCCTCGGGGGACAGTTGAGGAGCCCTGGGCAGGTGCTTCCCAGGGCAGCTGGCCCTGTCCCGCAGGCAGAGGCTGTGCCCASAGCGCTGGCCTGTCTGGTGCCTCGAGGCCCGGGGAGGGTTTGGGCTGTGGTGAGGCTGCCCCAGGTGTGATGCCGAGCTCTGGACCTGGTCTCATCTCTAGGTGGAGATCAAGGCTGCCTCTGGCTGCCTTCCTGCGCTGTGCCGGGGCCAGGGTGCAGGGTGTCGTGGGCTGCTGAACGCCCTCCCTGTGGCCCTGTCMCAGCTTTCACAGGCCGCTGCCTCTCTCTCTTCCCTGTAAAGCTGACGAGGGCTGTGGACCTGCTGGGGGAAACCGTGGAGAGCCTCCTGCTGACGTGGGGCACCAGGCTGCCAGGTGGGCRCTCTCCTCTGGCCGCTGCACGGCCACCACCCGCCCTCCTTCCCTCTGCCCCTCTTGGCTGCTCCCGGTGCTCCCCTCGCGCTCCCTTGGGTGCAGGTGCCACCCTCGGAGGCCGCTCGTAGCCTCACACTGCTCCYCAGGAGGCTGCACCCTGCGCTGGCCTGGAGCAGGCATCAGCTCTGAGGGCTCAGCCCCGCTGGCACCACGAGGGCTCCCGCTGCCCTCGCGGTGGCCAGCGCCGGGGGCAATGGCAGGGTCGGTGCCCGGGAGCGCCATTGCCACCGCTCACCGCAGCCTCTCTCCCCAGACAAGCAGTTCCACCTGAAGCGCGTGGCCGATGCCGCCATCGATATGTACGCCATGGCCGTGGTGCTCTCCAGGTGCGCGAGGGCGGTGGCGGGGAAGGTTTGGAGGAGGAAGGACCTCCCAGCCAGGCTGCTGCCTCGGTGGCCTCAAGCAAGAGCTGCTGGGCTCCTCTGCTCTTGTGCGGCCGGGCCGGGGTCGGGGTATTGCAGGGTGCGGTGTGATGGGACAGCACTTCCCTTGGAGCCCGGCTGCTTGCCGGCACGGGCAGCTGCAGCTCCTGCTCTAGGCTGGGCCCAGCAGCCGGCTTCACGGCGGCCTGGGGGTGCCCTGGGAGCACTCGCTTTTGCCCAAAGGGTGCATGTACATGGCACGTAGGTACTCTGCTGCTGCTTTGTCCCAGCTCGCCGCAGGCTGGATTTTATCTGCAGCTCCAGCTTTTTCTAACCAGGGAGTTTCTCTGCTAGCAGCCCTCACTGCGGTCGCCTCCTCTCCTCAGGGCCAGCCGAGCCTTAACTCTGAAACTGGCGTCTGCAGAACATGAGAGGCTGCTGTGCTGGACGTGGTGCCACGAGGTGGGCATGGGGACGACGGGGCTGGGTTGCTCCACTTGCTTTGGCCTCTTGGTGGCTTTGTCAGGGGCCGGCTCAGCCGTGCCCATGCTGACTGGTGCTGGAGGCACCAGTGCCTGGGTTTGCCCGTGGGTGTCAGGCACTTTTCCATGCACCTCCTCTAGATATGCTGGGCAGCTAGTGCAGCCTTACCCCATATCTACTCCATATGTGCCTGGTAGATAGTGCTGCCTTGTGCCACCATACCACTGCACCACTCCACCCTCCATGTACTGTGCAAGTACCCTCTGCTCTTGCATTGCAGCTGCCTCATCATCCAGAAAACGCACAGGAGGCTTCATTCTTGCATGAAATGTTCACAGGGGATTTAATGCCCCCCCTTGCCCCAGTTCTCCCTTGGCTCTCCTCATTCCTGCCCTTCCACCCCTGCTCCAGCTTCCTGCCCTTTGATGTGGCTCCGCTCCTTCGCTCTAGGGTAGGAACTGCTTAGCAGATGGACGTGAATTCTCCCCACCCCACGATTAGGTGCAATTATAAGGGTCAGGCTTTACCCTTGCTCCGTGTGCTCAAGGCAGCCTGGCTTGCAAACACCGTCCTGGTCCCAGCTAACGCCAGGCAGGCTGTTGAGCAGAGCCCTGGGCTGTGCCAAGGCTGGGTTAGGGTGACCGGCAGGAGAGTTTTCTCCCGTCTAATCTGTGAGCAGCAGCTGCCTTGGTACTTCCATTGCGGTCACGATGTGCCCCTGGAGAGGGAGCAACCAGCCCTCGCCYGGGAGCCAGCCTGGCCGTCAGGTCTGGTCCAGCCTTAGCAGGGCTCTGGGGTCCCTGTGCTGTGGAAGAACGCTGTCCCCTGGGGCCGGCCCTGCACGTGCTGCTGGCGCAGGATGGGGACAGGATGGCAGCAGCCAGGCGGAGGGGCCGCTCTGCGCGGCTCTGCGCTGTCTGCACCGGCGGGTTTTAGGTGCCGGCACCCGGGGTGAGCGCTGCCTCCTGCCTTGGAGCCTCCTTAGCCGACTGCGGGAGGCCGGGGGCCCCCTGGTTACATAACTAACGGGTGGCGACGTGTCTGTGYCCCGTGCAGGCGTACGTGCGAGTGAAGGCAAATCTGCGAGCCGTCAAGTCGTCCGCGTGGAATCAGTCCTGCAGCAACATGAAGCTCATATCGCATGCGGTGGTGCAGAACAAGGGGGTCTACGCAACCCATCCCCTCGACCTCTGAACAGATCCTGCCTCCTSCACGGAACCGCTGTGACTCCTACCGGGCTCTAATAAACTGCTGTTAGTTTGTTCCTGCTGGGGTTGCTGCTAGCTGAGCAGCTACAGCAAAGCGCCACCCCACGAGTGCCCTTGTCCCACTCTTGCTGTGGACYGAGGACTGTCAGTTCTTGCTCTTTTCCCAGGGGTCTGGAGAGCTGTTACCGCTTCAAAGGCAGGATGTTGCCCCTGCCCCAGGAGAGCTGTGGGTGCAGATGGTTGATGGGGACGTTCACGGGGCTGCCTTCATGAGTGGGTTTGCATGTGCACAGGCAAAATACTGTCCTAAGTTAAGTGTGCAGTACTTCCCCTCCTGGTGCTTTTCCAGCACAGACAGGGCTAAAGTCAGGAGGAAAACTGAGCCCTCTGCACTGCTGTGTGTGTTTGTGGGGAGGTCTTGGCAGGGGCTGATATGGTGCCATTTGTACAGGTCAGAGCTGAGTCGGCAGTTCTGATTTCTAACTTGTTTCTATCACAGGAGGGTTAGATGAATGGGGGGCTRCTTCCTAGGGCTCCTGCAGCTTCCTCTGATGCTAGTGTGGGCAGCTGCTCTACAGCCGGGCTCTTCAGGCTTGATGGGTGCAGCAGCAGTGCCCTGAGAGCCGCGTGCGGGCTGGGAGAGCCTCTGCGTGTGGGCACCCTGTGTGTGGGGTTTGAGGTCCCCCAGGCSCTTCAACCCTGGCTCTGGGGGCTGCATGAGCAGGGATGGCCACAGGGCCCATAGCATCGTCCCCAGGGCCAGCGAGACCGGGCAGGAGAAGTGGAGCCGTTGGGGGCTCTCGGAAGGTGACCTACACGGAGGGGCTCAGAGCCTGTTTGTGCACGTACAAGGAGGCCAGTGTGTAAAAGCATGGAAAGAGCAAAAGCCTGAACAGAGATTAGATTAAAAGAAAATGTAATTAAGTGCACAGAGCATCTTCAAATCTCCTTGCATAACTTACAGGGCCGGCTCTTTTCACAGGTGACTGCACTGCTGTCAAATTCACTTGCCAGGCACCTGTTGGAAGAGCTGTCAAGTCAGCTCAGTGTTAATTGCACAGGCGTTTCTCACTTGTAATGGGATTTAAAAATCTATAAGAAAAAGTGCCAAAATTTCTTGCTGCTCCTAAGACAAGCCAGTGCTGCCTGCTATTTAATGCTGCCCGTGTGCTCCAGCTGCTCTAATGTGGGTGAATCGGTGGTTCAAGGTGTGCACTTGAAGAAGCCCCATGCAGACACTAGTGGCCATCGTTGCAACTATTCCAAATGCCCAACCCCTGCTTTGGGTGCCTTCCCTGCCCACTGCGGTCGGGAAGGGAACGAGCCCCTGTGGGCAGCGCAGTGCCTGGCAGGCCCCTCACGGTGCCCGGAGCTCCGTGCCGTGTCCCGAGGGCCGCGCGGGCGGCATGGGGCCGGGCTGGCTCTGCGCCACAGGGAACATGCGGATGGTCCCCAGGGTGGCTCCTGAGCTCTGGGCAGGGTGACGAGGCTGGCTGCTGTGTCCAGCCTCTGCAATAGCCCCGCTGTGGGGACGCGAGGCTTTCGTGGGCAGCGCGGAGCAGCTGCGGGTGCCCAGGCCGCCCGGGCGAGCGCCCAAAGGGCAGCGTCGTGGCCGCCGTGCGGGGCGGGCGGCTGCGCGGCCCTCGCGGCACCACCACGTGTCTCGAGCGAGGAGTGGCTTGTGCCAGCGCTGGGGAAGGAGGATCCCGACGCGCTTATAAACGGGAGGYGCGGAGCTGACAGCAGAGCCCTTCCCTGCAGCCCTGCGCCTCCGCGGCCGAGCCCAGCGCCCCGGGACGCCCCTCACCTCAGGTACGCTTCCGAATTTAGAGGCTTCGGCACAAAACGGCCGCTGCCTTCGCGGTTTTGGAGGAAGAGGTGTCCTGTGGGGGGACAGAGACGAGGCTTCGCTGTGGAGCACGGGGCAGATGCGAGTGTCRCCCGTGCAGAGGCACACGAGCGGGGTGGCCGGGGCTGCGTGCTGAGGGCACGGGCCGTGCCCTGGTGCTGCCGAGTCCTTGAGAGGCTCTCGCTTGTGCCCTAAGTGCTCCTGGCAGCGCCCGCTGCTTGTTGTGCTAGCCCGTGTTTGGAGCAGTGCCTTCAGCAGAGGGGCAATGTGGCTTTTCCCTCCTCTGCTCCATGGTCCTTTTCTCCCGTTCTGTGTCCCTTGATGGGCAGGGGTGGCAGAAGACACACTTTTTTCCCCATGTGTCACACCAAGCTTTGTTCTAGGGATGCCCCAAATTCTGATATTTTCTTCCTTTCCAAGCCTGTCTTACTGTTTGCATCCAGGCACAACCATGCTGAGGATGGCAGTGCTGCTCCCGGTGCTGCTCAGCCTCTTCGGCCTCGGAAAAGGGCAGACGTTTCACATGGGACCATGTCCAGACCCACCAGTCCAAGAAAACTTTGATATGGCCAAGGTGCGAAGAGGTTTCTGAAACCTCCGGTCGGGCAGCAAACGAGGCTATGGTGATATATGTATGGAGACAAATTGTGCCAGGGCACGGGGTGGTGCGAGGGCTCTTGTAACCCAAGAGCAGTGGCCACATGCTGTACAAGTGACCCAGACCCTGCAGCCTGGCCCACGAGGCTGGAGGTTGGAGCCCCCAGCRCCTACGTGGCCCTGCAGACCCCCTGTCTCGTGGGCCCAGGGGAAGGGGGTCGCCTGCTCCTGGGATCCGAGCAGCTCAAGCTGTGTGGCCCGTGGAGCCAGGCTGCTCTGCRTGCTTGCCCGGTCCCCCCGCGCTAAGGGCTTCTCTCTGTACTTTCTGTTATCAGTACGTCGGAAAATGGTACGAGATAGAAAAGCTGCCATCAAATTTCGAGAAAGGAAGATGCATCCAGGCACACTACATGCAGGATGAGAATGGGAAGCTTAAAGTGATCAACAAGGAGCTGCAGTAAGTGTAAAATAATTGGGGTCTCGCTCACTGACTCTTTTCCATCCTCAGTGGATGCCAGATGTCCCAGGTCCTGCGGCAYGGGGCTATGGGCCACTCACCCGGTRGCAGCCGCCCCGTGTGCTACTCGGTGCTGAGAGGTGCCCCTGCCCTGCGCTGCTCTCCTGCACACAGTAAAAGCGCCCCAAGTACCTGATGAAAAGGGACTGGCAACATGAGACACAAGGGCTGATTTCAGTTAGGCAAATATTTGACGATCTGCTCTTTGAAGCCTTTGCCTCGTTCTGGTGGGAGCTGCTGCGTGAGGGTGGCAGAACTTGCTGCCGGGTTAGATCAAGGCGGAAAGCAAAGGCACCAACTGTCTCCTCGTTGTTCTGGGTGGCCGGCAGTCACGCTGAGCCCACGGCTTTCTGCATAGACACCGCGGATGTCCTTTCATTCGGCTCACTCGGTAGCTCTGCCTTGCCGGGGGGGTGAATGAATGAGGGCAGCGTGCACAGAGGCGCCGCTGTCCCCCGTGCGCCCTGGCATGTCCTGGCCACATTGTTCTGCTGCAACAACAGCGCTGCAACCCGCTCTTTGTGCTGCGCGGGGCAGCGCCGCGGCCGCTCGGCCCGTCTCTGCATTGCGCCCTGCGCGAGCGCCGGCCGAGCAGCCGCCCCTGTGGGATAACAGGACCCTGCAGCCACACGGGGGCTGCTGGCGAGGCGGATTCGCTCCTGTCTCCCTGGGGGCTCCTGTGTCCCGTGTTTTCAGTAGTGCTGCCAGGGATGTGTGCCCTGCAGAGAGGCACCCTGGGCGCTGGGGCAGCTTAACCCGCTGCGGCATCTCCCGTGCCCCACCGCGCTGAGCGGGTCACGGCACCCGGCAGGGGCAGCTCCACAGGCTGCCCTGGTCTTCTGGCAAAGCTGTGCTCAGCTGGAACGGGTCTCAGCCACTCTGTGGTAGAGAAACATCTYAGGAGGGATAATTTCCTGGAAATGAAAACTTCTATGCAACTTCAAACTTAGACTAATTTTATTTCCCTCTTGTCATTCTCTCCTTAGGTCTAATGGGAAGTTTAAAGAAATTGAAGGAGAAATCACCTACATGGATGTGAAGGAGCCAGCCAAGATGGGCATCAGCTTTAACTGGTGTAAGTGTGTGGCTGTAACTGGTGTGATTGGGCAGTTGTCACTGGTGAGCATCCCCCGGAGGTGCTCACAAGCCGGCATGGGCTGCTGGCAGCCGCAGGCTGCGTGCAGGGGCACAAAACAAGTAACCGCAATGTTATCAGAAGTGTGAAACTCGCAGAGCAAGAGGTGCCCCTGCCCCAGGGCTTTGCCGCGGGCTGGGCGGAGGGCGAGCAGCGGTGCAGCCCAGCGGCTGCTGCTGCTCTGACCCACTGCAGCAGGACCAGAGCAGGGCAGGGCTGAGCACTGCCGGCGCTGTCCCCTYGCAGGCTGCCCCGCTCCAGTAGCCTCCTCCTGTTGCTTCCGTGGCACTTGCAGGGCAGTGTCCTGCAGCAGGGCCTCTGAGGCACTTTACACAGTGCCTTCCTCTGCCCGCAGCAACGCTTGCAAAAGCGAAAGTTGGTCTCTCCCTTGCACCCCTTCTATTTCTTACTTTYTCACCCCTTTTCCTCAGCTATTTAGGGCGCTAGAGGAGTTACTTGGAGAAGGGGTRGAGGGGGGGACATGCACAGACACTGCTGTCCCCTGCAGAACATGCGGTGCCAGTGTCCTCCTGGCCACGAGCCCTCAGGAGCCCTGCCTGGCATTCCCAAATGGACCAGGCACAAATCCAATGCACGACACCCAATTCTGCTTTCTGCCTGACGGTCTGAAGCTGGAGGAGCTGATGCCCACGGCAGCAGATGCCTAAGGCACCGCAGCCTCCCCGGGAAGGGCACTTGCCCCGGTGGCCAGTGCCAGCGGGATCAGGCAGTGATGCCGCTTCCCGCTGCCTGGCTCCTGCAGCTCCGAGTCCCCAGGGGACACGGCCCCAGCAGCCTGGCGTGSAGCGGTCAGAGCTGGTCGCCCGTGGCCCTTAACGATGCTCCTCTCCCTCCTAGTCACACCTTCCGCCCCATACTGGGTCATCTCCACCGACTACGAGAACTACTCGCTGGTTTACTCCTGCACCAACATTATCTGGCTCTTCCACGTCAATTACGCCTGGATTTTGTCAAGAGCTCCTGAGATGCACCCAGAAACCGTGACCAACCTGAAGAGCCTTCTGCAGTCCTAYAAGATCGACACCGACAAAATGATGCCCACGGACCAGCTTAACTGCCCTCCTGAGATGTAACCGCGACAGCTCCACGCCAGCCACAAACTCTGCTGCTTTCCTTAGGCTCCTCTAGGACCCGTTTACGTAGCCCCATAGCCCCCTGCTAACGGTAGCGTGCCAGCCCTGCCCGCTGCTCTCTCTGCCRCTCTTCCTCCCTTCTGTCTCACTCTGACTTTTGCAGAGGAACTCACTGATTCAAAGCCAAGGGGTGAAGAAAACAAGTGCTGAGGGGCCGGTGTGACGCTCGGCTGCTGCTGCGGCTCCTCCAGCGAGTGGCTGCCAAGGAGCAGGAGGTCCCGGGCTGGGCCCTGTGGGAGGGTCCCTCTCCGTGCCCCCGGGGCTCCTTCCTCCCTTGGTTCTGATGTTTCGGGGCTGTYGGGTCACGCAGCGGCTGTGCTGCCCTGTGGTGCTGCCACAGCGGCTCGGCGCCATCTCGGGATCCCCGTGGGGCCGCTCACCATGGCTCCTGGTGCCGGGACACAGGGATGTGTTCCTGCCAAGTCAGAAAACCCTCTTGCTAAAATCCAATCTGGTCCTTTGCATGTGAAGGCTAAAAATGCCAGGAAATTCAACACTGCCCATCACGCTGTGCCTCTGAGCGTCCTCTCCCGCCTCCGTCAAGGTCGGCGCTGCCAAAGGCTCCACTCCGGGCGCTGCCCATGGGCAGAGAGCCGGGTCCCCTGTCCCCCCTGCACCCACAGCCCCACAGGCTTCCCCCAACCCCACTGGCTCTGCCCGCACYGCTCGAGTGCCCCGCGGCACCGCGCGGCTGCTCCACGCGCCCCTGTGACTGCGGCTTCAGTAGCACCGATGCAACTCATTAAAAATGAAATCCCAAGAGCTGCTCCGGGCTTCTGTAGCTCCCCGGCACGYGGGGCCGCGCGGCAGCCGCTCCCTGCCCTTCCCGGAGCACCGTGGAGCAGGGGCCGCCCGGCCTGGCCGCGGGGAGCGCCCCGGCTGCCAGCCTCTGTCCCCTGCCCGGGGGCTGCGCGGGGCACCRCGAGGCTGGGGCCACTGCGGGGCTGCCGGCGCTGCCAGGGCTATGTCCTGGGAACAAGCGCTGGGGACAAGGGCAGCGCTCCCCTCGGAGCCGCCCGGCCGGGCCGGGGCTCGTGCCCCTGGGGGTGCCGCTGCGGCCGGTTGTGCAAGCGCAGGGGAGGGCTGGGGCGCTCCGGGACGTGCGCGGGGTCCCGGGAGGGCCCGAGCTGCAGCCCGGCGGCAGCGGCAGCTCTGGGCGCGCTGCCCGGCAGGCCCCTCCGCTCGCTTTACTGACACCAAGAAATAACCATGTGTGTAGCGTGCTACGGGCGGCCGAACTCCCAGCAAGGCGAGGGCCGGGCAGCCCGCGGGGCGCTCGTGCCGGCCCCGTCCCGGGCTGTGCCCGGCTCCGGCCCCGCTGCCGCCCGTGCCGCCGTTCCCGCGGCTGCGTCTCCCTCTCCCGCAGCGCCGTCCCCGCGCACGGGCGGCTCCCGCATCCCGCCGCTGCTCCGCGCCTTGCCCTGCTGGGGCTGGTGGCGCCGCACAGCGGGGGGGGGAGCGGAGGGGGGCGGGGCTACCCACGCAGGAGCCCTGTGCGCCTGCAAGGCCCCTGCAGGCTGCGCGGCCCCACGCGTGTCCCGCGGCCCCGCACGGGCGGCCGCGCAGGCGCAGAGCCGCCTCCAGGGGCGGGTTGCTGCGCGCTCCGCCGGCCGCCCGGGGGCGCGGTGGCAGCTGCGCGGGGCGGGGCGGCTGTGACGTCGGGCGGCTGTGACGTCGGGCGGCTGTGACGCAGGCGGGGGCGGCGGCAGGCGGCTGCGGAGGCGCCGGGGAGCCGCAGCCGCGCGGGAGGGCGGCCATGGAGGCGCCCTCGGTGCCGGCCGCCTCCACGTCGGGCGCGGCGGGGCGCGGGCCCATCAAGGGCATCCTGAAGAAGGGCGGCGGCGCGCTCTCGGCGGGCGGCCCCGGGGCGCGGCGGCCCAGCCCGGCCCGCGACGAGGACGAGCACGGGTGAGGGCCGCGGTGGCGGCCGCTCCGGGCCCCGCTGCCTCGGACCGGCCAGGAGGGCGGCGGGCGGGCGGCTCGGTCCCTGGCGAGGCCCCGCCGCGCYCCGTACGGGGCTCGCGGGGAGGAGCGGGAGCCCCGGGCAGCTCCCGCCGGGCCTTGGGCACCGGGAGGGCTTGTTGGGTCAGCTGCCCGCGGGCCTGCGCTCCGTGCGGGCACCCTCGTGTGTGCGCCGCCTGCAGYTCCCTGCGGGAAAACTCCCCGCGTGGGAGGCCAGGCAGCGGAGACAGTGCGGGGAGGCCCGGGCTGCGTGGGGAGGCCCTGGTCCTGAGCGTGGGAGGCTGAGGTTGGGAACGCGGCTCTGTGCGAGGAGGGTCAGGACGGTACACGGCTGCTGCTGCTGCATGGGGGGACAGTCGTGTTGGTCGTGACTGCGCTGCCCAGAACGTGATCTGGCTGYGCGGCCCGGCCAGCGCTGCAGCTGGAGGGGTGGCCGTGGCTCTTGGCCGCTCCGAGAGTGCCAGCAGGAGTAAAGTTACCCTTAAAAGTTCTTTCCCAAAGGGTGTTCAAGCACATGGGAAGACTTTGCAATTGCGAGCAGGACAAGGTGCTGTTTGGGAAGGTAACACTTCACTATAGGAGACTTGAGCTCCTCTGAGGTAGTCTGTGGGGTGAAGAGTTCTGCGGGATAGAAACATAAGGAAGATCTGTTCTTAGTTCTGCAAGATTCCTCCCCAAAGATCTCACACTTGTGCTTGCGCATTGAGCTCTTGTGACTTTTGAAGCAACTTGTGTTGTTAATGATGCGAAATCTTGGTTTAATTGTAGCACTTGGAGTTAGTTGTCCCATAGGCAGGAGGAGAGAGGCTGCCCTTGGCCGGTGAAAGCTCCTGCCTCGGTGCCGACGTCCCCACGGCGTGAGCGGCGCTGCCCTGTGCTGCTGCGGGCGCTGGCCTCGCCAGGCTGCCTCCTGAGCTCCCTCCTCGTAAACCGGCCCGTGGCACGTTCCTTGCGTGGGGCCCCGCTCTGTTCGCCAGGAGAGCTGTAATAAATAATCATGCAAATCTGTGATAAATAATCATGCAAATTTTGTTCCTTGTGGTAGTTTTCCTTTTTCTCTGGGCCTAGTCCAGTCATGGGTAGAGTTCCTACTTGGCAGAGTTAGGACTGTAAGTTTTTCATTTGAGAGCTGCCTGTCCCGAAAGCTCCTGCTTTCCAGGGAGAAGTTAATGCAGCTGAGGGAACGAGAGAGTGTTTCTGAAGGACTTGTTAGTGACAATATGTTACACRAATGTTATCTGCAGGTTTTTGGGTTCTATATACAATGCAGCACATGAGGTGTTTGCTGCTACACCTACCCACAACATGATGGCTGTTGCTGGCTGTTGTATATTCCCTMAGTGCTCTTTTGTGGAATGGCCCTACGAGCTCAAACTAATGAGCTCTGTGTGCAGTATAGCTGCTTACAGCACGCGGTAATTTCTTGGGATGCAGTTAAATGGGCAGGAATCCCATTCCTATTTCCTGTCTAGCAGTGTGAGTCAGTAAATGCGTTATTAGATGAATTCAGAAACTGCCTTGCAAGCTGAAGGATATTGGCCCAAGCTGGCAGATTGTGCTGGAAGCTTTCCTGGAAAGGTCAGTAGAGGTTTTTCAAAGCTAGCTTGTGTGCAGATGTTATTTTTGGTTGCCAGCTCTGGAAGCTTGATTAAATCTGTGTTATTACTGAGTATAACAAAATTATTATTTAAAAGAAGATCACAGCTGCGCTATCTGTCATTCTTTTAAAGATTAAAAATCAGCCTAGGAACAAAAGCATCTGCTTACCAAGGGCACTTCTATTAGCAGCTCTGCTTAGTCGTGCTGCTGAAGTTCATAGCAGCGGGCGAAGGAGCCCATCGTGTCAGCGATCCTCTCTTAAAGCACTGTGTTCAGTACAACTGCTGCGTTTACGTCACGGGTGGCCTGCACTGTYGTGAAAATCTCTGGAAAGCCTCCTTGGTGCGGGCACGGTGCAGGAGCGGAGGCTGGGGCACCGCTGGAGTGGCCCCCTAGTAACTGGTGTCGCTGTTCGGGGCAGTCCTGTCCGCGGCAYGTTTGGTGCGCGGTGTTCCTGGCCTTGGGGCCCGTGTCCCGGGGTGCCCGTGGGTGCCATGTGCCTCAACCGACCGCCTCGAGCGGTTTGGCAGGGCCGCCCTGCCGGGGCAGCAGGGCCGGGGCAGGAGCGAGCGGGGCCACCAAGGAGGCTCCCAAAACAGGCACTTCYATATTTACAACTCACACTACAGAGCACTTTGGTCACACTTCATTTTTCAAATCTGCTTTTATCAAGGAAGATTTGAGTTCATGTTTCTCTATCTTAAGCGATATCAGGAAGCGTTTTCCTGGGATGATTCTAAGCTTATATCATTAATTTAATGCTGCTCTGGCATGCCTAGCCATGCTAAATTAGAGACGATCAGGGAAGGTGTGGGTTTTTTAAGAGCGGTTAGTCACCCTCATGTGAGCACTTTTTATACCAAGGGGTGAAATGACAGGTTTATCACTAATGATAATCCTAGCTGAATTTTTAACTTGGTTTTATTTTTAGGGAGATTTGTTCCACAGCCAAAGCTTTTAATGCTCATAAGTTAAAAGAAATGAATGTTAAAATCCAAACCACTAGAATCTTTTTCAATTTGTATTTATTAGTTCCTGAATTACAGTCTGTAGACTGTCTAATTTCAAGCCTAGTGTGTGCCAGGAAGATTTCTAAGGTTGCCAGGTTTCTAAGGKTGCTATTGTTGCTAAGTATTGAGCAGTGAATGCGGCGGCTGGAGCGGTTTCCTTCCTGGTGTTTCGTTGCTTTAACAAATTCTGCTGTTAGGGCTGATGGAGCTGCCAAGGTTYGTGCTAGCTCTGTGGCAGTGAAGATACCAGGCCAAGTTAGCACAGTTCGAAGGGAGAAGAGAAGCAAGATGCTGATGAGGGTGTATTTCAGCTTCACTATTAGTTCTAGACAACAAATATACTTCTGTCTTCTGGGCTGTTGCCGTCTAGGGTGCTTTTCCCAGCATGAGGTGTCTGGGAATTGTTCTTGCTGTGGATTCCCAGGAGCGGGGCTTGCTCTTTCCCGCTGTGCTGCAGCAAGAGCACAGCCCTGTGCCCCCGCTCGCTGTTCTGCACCATGGCGGTCAGCTGTCTCCCTTGGACAACCAGAGCAGTGCAGTTACCTGCCACTGCTCATCCCTCGTGCGTGAGCGCCCCGACTCCAAGCTCGGGAAAATGTATACACGGGTTTTGTTCAGGGTCTTTTTTCAGCGTACGGCTTAGGCGGCCTGAACCAAGATGTGGTGGGTAGAGCGTGTTGAGTGTGGGAAGACTTCCCTTGTACTGCAGCCCACACGACAGCTGGAGAAGCAGGGTCAAGTTTTAGTCGGAATTGCAAGAATGAAGACTAATTTGGGGCCTTTGCAAGTCGGGTGCACTTCAAGTTCAGTCTTAGAGCTTGCTGCATGCGTCAAACAAGATGCTGAGTTCACAGCTGTTTCCTGTCCCTCCTTCTCCGGGGATTTTTTAGGTCCCTATTCTCCTATTCCCTTATTTAGGTCGTTTGACTTCCAGTTCCTGGTTACTGTTGTCTGATATTTTTCTCCGGCCTGGGCTAGAAATTCTAGTCTTTCCTCTGAGAATTCTATATTTTTTTAATGTGGAGGCACCAGCAGGTAGCCCATGATGTTTACTCTGTTTCTGCTGCTTCCCTAGCACAGACACTGATGCTTGTCAGATTCTGCCATGAACCAGTTCAGGAATCCAGAACTAGCAGGAAATTAGTCTTAAAAAAAAAAAATGGGGCTCAGCTGAGCAGCAAACCCGTTTTAGGTTAGGTTCCTGGTGCGGGGGAGGTGAGGAGATGGGTCCCATGGTGGGGCAGCAGCCTTGGCTTGTGCTCCTGTGAAGCTGCATGCTGAGGCCAGTGTGGTGAGTGCCAAAGGCCGTGTTAGGGGTTCCTCCCTTCCCTCTTATTTCCTCTTATTTAAGTGCCGCTTCTGTACAGGGACTGCGTATGGCTGTCCTGCTGCTGTGAGTGCTGGGTGTTCTCAGGTGCTCTCCGTGGAGCCACGTCATCATCTCCTGTTAGTCAGAGAGGAACTTTGAGCAGATGCTTAATCGGAGAGTTTAGATGCCCAAGTGGGAGATATGAGGGGTTGGTATCTCTAGTCCTAGAGCTCTTGCTTTGTCATTCCCAAGCTTGTGACTCCCCAGCCTGCCAARCGTATTGGAGCAGACAATCCGGCTGATGTTTTGTTCATTCCGATTGTGATCCTAGTCTTGCAAATCGAACAAAATAGATGTGACACCTCAAACAGGAGGGTTTGGCRTGGGCTAGCATATGGTAAGGTGACTGAGCTCACTTGCTCGTATGCAGTTATAGATTATAGATCTGTAGTGTACAGAATTAATCGTAAACTCCACTTGTGTATTTTTTTCTCTTTAACAATTTGTGATGCTCTCCATAAATGTAAAGGCTAGTTTATATGTTGGATCAGTGTCTGTTTTACAGATAGTGTTCTGCTCATAAGCAACTGTAATGTTGAGATTAAATCCTTTCAAAATCAGTAATGTGTTGTTGGAAAAGCCTGTGTTTAAGAGTGGTTAGTTCGTTTAACCAAAAAACACCACTAAATCTAAAACGTTGTTATGTTTTTTTCATTAAATCATAGTTTACAACATTTCACGCATAAATTAGCAGATAAACTAATATTAAATGGTGGAATTGGTTYAATATTCTAAAGTTAGGTTTTTGAGGATTATTCTTAGGAGGAGGACCACGGCAATTGCTTGCTTTGCAGCTTGTATATTTTGTTGGTCTGAGGAATTTTTGTTTCTGTGTATATATGCACACTTTTTATGTATATATATGAAATGGTACATTCTGCATTTAATCAAGGAAAATCTAAATAACGCATGACCACTAGTGGGTCTCTGTAAGGTATGAAACTCCTGTGCTTTAGTTACAGCAGTTGGTCTCATTTTGTGATTCCAAGTCRGGGTGACAAAAGCAGCATTAAAACGCAGCAGTTCAGGGGCCCTTGTTTTCCTGCAGTGAGTTATTTGTTGCTCAGAACTGTTCGTGCTGCAGTTTTGCTAATAATCCCCGCAGCAGCCTGGGCAGAGGCTTGAGGAGGTTACTAGGTTTTACTTAAGTTACTGGGTGAGAGTGTTGTGGGCTGTAGTAATAGCAAGAGTAACTCTACAGTGATRTCTAATAAGAGCTGGTGGTTACTGGGACAGTGATTGAACAGGACTGGTAGTCTAATAGAGTGGGAGAGGAAATATAGGGGTGTGTGTGTGTATATTTATAAAACCATAAATTCATTTAGCTTTTTTTAAGTTGATGGGGAAAGAGTTGTAAAGTTGCACTCATAATTTGCCATGATCAGCGTTTAATCACGTTTMTGCTTTGAACATGCCTGTGTGTCATAGCAGTACTCTGCTTGCATAGTGTAAAGGCAATAGATGTTCTAAATGTTCCTTTTCTTTTATGGTCAAGCAGCAGAAAAGATTTTTAGAGTGTGAGAAAATTAACTTGCATTTCTGATTTCAGTAAAAAATCCCAGAAGTGGGATGAAATGAACATCATAGCTACGTACCATCCAGCAGGCAAAGATTATGGCTTGATGAAAATAGATGAGCCAAGTACTCCRTATCACAGGTAGGCTTGAAAAAACAGCTGTCCTGAACAAAACTTTGATCTTTGATGCTAGGCAATATAGTAATAGGTTTGTAGCGAAGATGGCCTTCTGGATGAGGCAGTATTTCCTGAAAYGATAGCTGATAGACTGTGCAGTCCTACTGGATATATGCAACACATTTGACTTACAAAGTTGCTAAATACAGGCTTATAGTTATTATTGAGCACTATTGCCAAAAAGGTGAGTGAGTTTTGTAAGATCTGTGTGCATTAGGCTTTACATTATTAACGGAATAAATAATCCTAAATTGTATTGTTTTTTTTGGTTTGTAACTTTATAACTTTATAACTTTATATGAACATATAAAAAGCTGTCATTTATGTACATATTTAAATYGGATTTAGAATCACAGAAAACTCTTGAAGTTATAAAGGGTCTCTTAATTTTGCGTTTCGTAAAGTTTTGATTGTTTTATCAGAAATTTTGAGCAGCAAGTTATTGATTAAGTCTACTCTCTTTGTTTACTTTCAAAGCATGGTAGGAGAAGATGATGAGGATGCAGTGAGTGATACAGAATCAAATGAGCCCTTAAAAGCAGATGTGTTGAGTAAAAAGTAAGTATTGACATAGAAAAGACACTATTCGTTAAGATCATTTAATCTCTGTAGAAGTAGTTGCTATTTGGAAAGATGTTGCTGTTCTTAAAAGTCAGGTTCTTGCTAACTGCAGTTAAACAAAGTAGTTTTCTGTGCCAATAGTGCCCCTGGAGTGAAAGTCATGTCTTGTAGTATGTTTGTACACMTAAAAATGGCAAAAGTATTGAACAAAGCAGTTTATATGAGTATGCTGAAATTTAAGGTGTTTTAAATTGTGAAAATTTGCTTCTTCAGCATTTTCTGTTATCTGCTCTGTATAGACTAGCAGCTGCAGCTGAAGGTAAGGGACCTAAGATCCTAGCAAGGCAGGAGGAAAGCAGTGAGGAAGAGGATGAGGATGAAGAATTAACACCTGAGGAACGAGGTAGGCATAAGTGTTTGTGGTGTGTGTAGTAGAAAGGTGTCATTTGAAAGTGGAGATGTATATAGTCTTTCAAACGTAAGTAAGAGATGACAAATAAATATTCTGTACAATGAGGGCTGTTAGATTTGGGATTCACATATAAAGAGGAACCTTGATGCTACTGGATGGCCCCTTGTATACAAGCTTAATGTGTGTAAATTCCTTTAAAGAAATCTCAGCTTCTCATATGAGATTTTTTTTGGATTGAGGAATGAGGAAATATTCCTTAATAGGGACAGATTTCAAGTAGAGCTAACAATTTAATGAATACTCTGCAAATAAAGCATTGCTAATTGCTTAGAAATATACAGATGCTTTTTGATTTTATTTTAGTTTCAAACCAGCTGGCAGATGAGTGTARCAAGAAGACTATAAATATTCGGAAGTGCCTCATGTATCTTCAACAGAGATGCCTTTCTGCCTTAGCTTGGGATAGAACATTTTGAGGATATAGTCAAACAATAAAACTTCTAAGGTTTCCAGCCTGTGTTATCTAGCTGTTACTTCTCATCTTTCCTAACGCCATTCATCAGCTTTGAGTATAACCTGACAGTTCTGGTGAGGAAGACAAAAACAGTGTTGGGACTGCCAAGAAGCAGTTTGTTTTGATCAGAATGAGTTAMTGCTACACCTGTTATGGGAATGTCGGATACATGGAGCAAAGTTGGGCTTCAAACAATGGGAAAAGTAGAAAATACTTTCTTCTGTGTTTGGAAAGTGGTTGCTGGCTGACTACTGAAGGCCRGTTATCAGTGATGCAAGTTAGACATCTGCAAAAGTTCATTTTCTGCTCTACCAATGTCATCTCAATTTGCCTATAAATATGCTTAAAGCAAGACTTGTGCAAAACTGGAGTTTCTTATATGGTTCCTAGGTGCTTCTCTTGGTCACACTTGCTCTTGCTTGCAGGCATGTGCTTTTAATCACACTGCAGCCATTTCAGTCTAGTAACTATTAACCTGATTGTCAGGCCTGTTTGATAGAACATTTCACTTYTTGAATAACACAGTATGAATTCCAGTGTTGCTTGATGATGTAAAGAATGTATTTTTAAAGTRTCTTGAAAATGGCAAGTAGCGGATGTTTGTGTGTCTCTGATTGAAGTATCAGTTCAGTATTTAGATTTGTTTGTTCACAGAAAAGAAGAAACAGTTYGAAATGAAGAGAAAGATGCACTACAATGAAGGGCGAAATATCAAGCTGGCAAGGCAGCTCATTGCAAAAGAACTGCATGGTGAGGATGATGAGGATGAGGAYGAAGAGATGCGTGATGATGCAGATGTAGAAACAATGAATACGGAAGCAACTGAACATGGTAAGCTGTTGGTTAATCAAAAAGCATCTTTAGGTATCGGTAGCGCTTTCAGCTATTAGAAAATCAATAGACTCAAGGGAAAGAATGACTAGAGAAGGGAGAGTGTGTAATGCTTAACGTGTGCTCCTGTGTGCTGTCTTGCAGTATCTGTAGAATGCCTCTAAATGCATTAACATTAAGGACTTCTTGTCTGTGTCTGTGTGTCATAACAGAAGAGCAAGCAGCTCTGCTTGAAGCCAGTCCTATTTGCACGGCATAATCCACTCTTGGTAGTGATGCTGTGAGTGTCAGTTTTGGGGGAAGTGTTTCCTGTATGGATTTCTTCAAGCTTTGGCCTCATGGAAGAGCCTGATGTCTTCCCATTCTGCTCCCAAATCATCCTGTACCCAGTCTTCCTCCCTCTTGAGAGTGAGATTCTTGTTTTCCTAAGACCTTTGGTCTGTTTTACCACAGCTTAAAACTTTGCTGTTAGGTCTTCAGTATGCAGTATCCTGAGGCAGTAACATTCACCTTTGTAGTATGGACTAAGCAGCCCACCTTCCCTCTTAGCTGCTGTAAGAAATTCTGGGGCTTGTAGCTGGGAACTGTTTCTGGAACCTGCTTCAGAGTTGCCTTTTGATGTTAATCTGGTAGCTAGAGGTTGAAACCTTCTCTTCCATCTTGTTGTGGGTGATAATTGTAGACTATAGTCTCTGATTTTTTTGTGGTGGCCTTCTGGTGAACAACCACAATGTTTTTTGTTCCCACCTCTGTGTGGAACAACACTTTGAAACAAGCTCTTGATATTAAGAGGTGGACCTCTCTGCTCGTGAGACAGGTGTCTGTGAATCTGAAGTTCGTAGACCTTGTTCATCTGTTGCTTGGCAAAGTTGGGAGACATTAGCACAACTTGGGAAGATGCTGCATGGGTTGAAAATGATCCACAATTGGTTTTTGCAACAATGTGAACTAAGAACTCTTCTAAAATGAATTTAAATTCTGTACAACATAGAGGTGACTTACAAAGTTGGTTTTTCAATGTTTCTGTAGATTGTACATCTTACTTCCACTATGATCAGAGGGCTAATTCCCTCGTAATTGCTAGAGGGTCATTTGGTGTGTGTCTGATACCCAGCAATTGATTAATGGATGAGTTACTGATCCTGCGGCAGTTTGTAACATGCCCCGTGATGGCTGTTCCCTAGAACTGCACTGTTAGACCCCTGTACGCCCCTTCCTCGGGGCTCGGAGCTGCCGGCCTCCTGCACTCCCTGCGGGACAGGGAGGCCCCTCCGTGGCCCGGCTGCCCTCGCCACTGCACACAAGGCTCCTGCTTGCAGCACTTTCCATCCCTGTTGTTGAAGTCCATCCCGCCTTGCTTCATAACCCAGCTTCTGAGCCACCAAGGGTAACTATGATCTTAGATGACTTATGGCTGATGGACTCCATAAATGCARCTGCCACTTTATTGACCCATTAACTCTGCCTGGTTCCTCCTGACTCCGTGGCTTACAGAAACACTTTCCATTAACTTCGGGGGCTTCTCATTTTTCCATTTTTTTTTCTGTTATCACTCCACTTAACAAAGTTTGATGCTTTGCTATATCCTCATATCTGCATAAACGATCTTAATTTTTGGTCTGCGTGCTTGAACAGTTCTTCAAGGCTTAAATACTGGTCTCACCTTTGTAATGGCGCATGAATTAAATGGCCTCCAGCTGATTGTTTGTAAGCTTAGGTTGATGAAAGGATGGTGGAATCCAATCAAAACTCTCTTAATAAGCAGCATCTCCATGTTTTTCAGCACTGCCCGCATCTTAAAAATTTCCTACACTGAGACTGATAAATGCTCAAAAATAGAGCCTTGCTTAAGTGATGTCAAGGCTGCACTGAAATCACCTTTTTGGAGATCTCTTGTGATCATTCTCTCATCTTTATTCTGAGGGCTTCTTTCTTATAAAAGTTAAATGTATGTTTTGAGCCACAGAGCCCCTGCTTTTAAAACTTTCTTGRATTCATAGCTGACTTGTGGTTTTGGCTGTGCTAGGCAATTGAATTTAGTGAATATTTCAATTTCATTTCTTCCCTTGTGGAAGTAGAGCAAAATACTATTAACATTCCTGTTCCTAARCTGCTCCCTCTAGGACTGGGAAAAATCAAGATGCTTTTCGATCATTCTGAAACTATGTGGAAAGATTGCTCCTCTGACTCTTCAGAGAGCTCTTCAACTGCAAATCATTGTATTTTAATGTATTTTTTAGGGCAGAGAATGAGTTTTCTTTAGCCCCAGTGTATTGAGTGAAGTTATCTGGTGATGCAGGAGATAACACCTGTGAGGACTTATTTTGGCTTCATTCTGTTAAACTGACTAACAGCTCTGATGTCGTCTTTTTAACACCAATGGAAATRTCTGCCTCTTTCTGCATGTTGTTTTGTATCTATAGTTTAATTCTTTATTTCATTTGACTTCAGTTCTTTTAAGTTGTGGAAGTCACCTGATGATGTGGCTACCACTCTTATTAATTAGGTCTTGGGCTGTACAGAAATTTGTGTAAGAATTAGCATGCAGGGTCTATTTCTTCCRCTGGAATAATGTGTCTTTTCTTAGTACTGGTGATTATTCCAGGTAAAGATGGGACCTAAGAATAGCTTCTTGTTAGTCTGTTGTGAATTTGGGGTTCCAGCAGCTCTTGGGTTGTTGTTCAGGTGGTTTAAGAGCCTCTTGTCATTTGGAATTTGTCTGTTCAGGAACCTTAAAGGTTCTGTGCTTCTCTTACCGGGTGTTCCTTTTCACCCTCTAATCCTGCCTGTGTGTGTTGGAGTAATCCTGTGTGTGTTGGAGTAAAACTAGCAGTACTCCCAATTTCTACAAAACCTTTTTACGGCTATGCTGAGAAGGGGGCTAATGTCTTAGGACAGCTTTTTAAGAAGGTACTGCCAAGACCACTAATTTAAGTTGCCCTTCTTGGTTACAGACTGAGATTTCTTGCTGGTTGAGATGAAGATGGCCAGTCCAGCCAGTAACGGTGAGAACTGYTCATGTGTCTTTGCCTCTGCTTTCATCCTGAGCTAGCCAGCGTTTTCAGTGGATAGATCATTCCTTTCCTGCCTCAAGTAGCTGTGCTCTATCTGTGCACATAGAAATTTCCAGTGAAACTTTCTGGAGGAAAAGAACCATGTTGAAGTTGCAATAGACTGCACTGGGATGGCTTCCTTCASCTTCTTTGGAGTTTCTCTGGTTACACCCGGTTTATGACTCCATGAACAATGTGATAGAGTTTGCCTACAAACAGTGACCTTCATCCCCTTCCACAAACATGTTTCCTTTAAAAAGATCTCCTTGAGATCAGTGAAGGAAAGATTCCTGGTACAGGTTGGTTTAAGCCTGAGGACTTCAATGCACACTTGGTTTTAATTCTGCTTTACAAAAGCTTATTTCCTCAGAAGAAACAAGGGTGCGAGCTGTAGCAATTCAGTTGACAAGCAGTAAAACTATTGTCCTCTGCTCTGGGGTGTTGACCTGCTCATTGCTTTGATAACCCTACTTAGATACTGTGATCAACGTAGCTGTCACTGCCTGGGTGTGCTCTTCGGGCCGCTGCTAGATACAGGATGCRTTGTGTTTTTTTCAGCCGTGGTCGACATCATCAGAAAGGTGATGCAAGAAGGCCAGGAGCATTCACAGATCTGATCTGCTTGCCAGCTGCACTATTCACTTGCCAAACTGGACATGTGACTAAGTCTAACTCATGCCCGAGCTTGACTGGCCTTTTCTTGGAAAGGAAGATCATCTGAACTTGGCTTTTTCTGGTCTTTGCTTTACACCCCCTGAATATTTTTCTCTTCTAAAGCAGAACTAGAGTTGGCTTTTTCATAACAAAAGCTTTGAACCTTCTCTTTATTGCCTTCTGCCCTGCACTATTTGAGATTCTTGGTCCAAAACTGTGACTTTAGTAATTTCTTGAACAACACAACAAACCACTCCATTYATTGTTTTATTTTTGTTTGAAGTATTTCATCCAGAATTGAAATTTGACCTGAGGAACCTGCATTTCAGGAACGTTATGTGCTAGGGCCGCCTGTTAGTATCTCTACCCGTGGGGCTCCCCAGTCCGGGGTGGGCAGCAGCGGTGCCGCTGCGGTGCGCAGGACAGGCCCAGCACTGACCACCTCTTTGTAGTGGCTGTTTTGGAGCTTTCTCCACCTGTGAACAAAATGCATATGCAGGCTGTGAAAATGGGACGTACCTCGGAGAAGCAAGCGTTACTGTGGAGAAACAGAGATGACTTCAGATTTCWTTTATTTATTTATTTTTGTTTTTTCCTAATCGATGGGCATGAATAGTTATCTGTTCTTGTGATCTTTCTCACGCAGCACATGCTACTAGTGACCAGCTGGGAAGTAGAGCACACAGCATAGAAGAAATCTGTCCTGAACTGTAACTGCTTGTCAAAGACAAATATAAACACTGCTTCATGATTTTTGCAATTATGGCTCTTAAATATCAAGAAGCATATCAGTTACAATGTTGTATTGCCAAGAATGTTAATTTTAGACTTGTCCATTAGGCGGAAAAAAAAATCTGTCTAATTGATTTATTCTTGTGCCTAGTATTTCATGGAGAATACTGCTTCATAATCTGTTTGACCAGAATGGCATTCCCTGTATGTGTAATGCTGATTATCTTGCGTCCTGTACTGTTCCTCTTCACGCTTGGAAACACAGACAGTATCTTTGTGTGTTTTCACTATTTATTTGACAGTGCTCTAGGTGCGGTGTCTCCTAAGAAAGGGTTTGCARTTCAAGAGCCAAACGGTACAGCATACATTGGGCTGACATGCAAGATATTTATCAGATGTGTTAAGCAGTTTAAAAAGGGATTATTTAAGTTTTACAACTTTTTTTTTGTAGAATTTTGACCTGTTAATCTAGATTTCAGTAGGTTATTACCTGTATTTTCCCAGTCTCTAGAAGAAGAGTTTTATTATTTTTATGAGCTGTGTTTGGAATCAGTTATAGTTTCTGACTAAGGCAGTACTAACTTCTGGTGGAAGGATGTTTTTACACTGGAAATGCGCTCACTTGAACCTTGCATTTAACTGTCATCTGTCTTTTCCATTGGGCCTGGCTTGTTTTAGAGCTCTCTTGGTTTATCTTGAGCGTATGGAAGTTCCCGCCAACTTTTCTTTCTCCAGCCCCATCAAGCCTCACTCTTTTTGCTCTCATCTCAAACTTTTGGACTTTGCCAGTTGCATGAAGAGTAAATATTCACCTGCAGTGTTCACCCTTTAGGAGGAAATCCACATGGGKACTACAGAGATGGATTTAGGCTCTGCTTGCTCTCTAGAAAGATAACTGCTGATGGTCTCCTACCCTCTTGGGATTTGTACCCGCTATACTGAAAACCACTGGTCTAAATCTTTCTGGATCTAATGTAACTTGCAGCAGCTGCTTTTGCAAATGAAGGCTGTTTGGAAGGACAGAAGGCTGCCTAATTCAAATGCTGTTTACAATGTAGTTGGATAGCCCCTGTAAAGAGGGATTTTTTTTTTGAACCTCCAAATTACTGTAAACAACTTCCCACTCAATGGATTTTGACTGGTGAATGTTATAGTATTCAAAATAGTTCTTGGTTTTTATCACACAAATGAAGTATACATTTAAGCTTTAGCTTGGTTATGGAATACATTGTATATCTTAATTTTGATCTGACTTTGATATGTTGCAGAAATCCATATAATTATATGGAACTATTTTAAAATGTCTTTTTGTCCACTGTATATGTGAAGTTTGAATAAAGGAATGAAAGTTATTTTACAGTTATCTGTGTCCTCAGGTGTGAGCTTTCCTGGAATCCCAGAGCGCGTTGGGTGACAATAAAGGAGGCTGCAGCCCATGGAAGTGCTTTGCTGGAGGGATTCGGCAGAATAGATGTGTTGCCAGAGGTGTCTGTGAGCTGTGCTGGGCACAGTGGTGTGTGCCCTTCCGAAACCTGTTCCCTCCTTAGCAGGTGACAGCATGGCCAGCTGTGACATGCTTAATCTAGCTTTTAAAGACCTGAATTGAAATGAAGAGCTTCTTTTTGTACAAGGAAGAGTTGAGCCCTTGATTCAGTCCAGTGTGGTGCTGCTATCACCGAGTGCTGTTTCTTGTTGTATCAAACACGGTAATTTCTGTAGCACAGGTAGGGCCAAAAGACTGAGCGTTTTAGCCCTTCAGACTTTCACAGTCATTTGTTGCAGCTTTCAGCTGGGCTCACAAGTCACAAGGCATCTGAACATGAAGCTCATGTGGCGCTTTCACGTGGCAAGCTGTTCAGGTGATCTCCTTTATCTCACTAAGCTCCAAATTTTATTTAGATGCCATTTTGTTATAACTTATGTTGATTTTTAGTTATGGGCTGTATTCACTTTCTTTTTTAGTGAAACCAAAAATATTGTTCCTACTTCTACTTCACCTTGCTCATCTGGAATGCAGCCTGATGTAGCTGATGCTTCTGAACCTGAGGGGTTATTTAGCTGAGAGGCTCATTATGTGGTTCTGTCCAGCCTTTTCCACCCACCCTCAGGCAGTTTAAAGACAAAAATWTCTCTAGTTACTGCAAAGTGAACTTAGCTACACTGTGCAGCTTTTATTACAGAGGGATATCTGACTTCTTTGTGTTTGACAAATATTAAGTGTAGCTCCCTTTTAAATGGGGCGAAAGAGAAGAAATGTCTTTGATCTTTTTCAGRTTTTAATATCTTGGTGCCTATGGTAAAGGCTCAATCATATGAGCAATGAGTGGTGTAATGAGGAAGCAGCATCTTTCCTCCCTCTAAAGGGAAATTTAATAATGTGGAAATTTAGCCCCACAGCAAAATAGTTGCGAGGCCTCTCACAGGTTTATTTTAGTTCTGAGGAAGTATTTTCAGTGTGCTCCCAATTGCATGATGTCTTATAAATAACGGTGATAACATCACTTATTTTTTAATCTTATCACACTGAGAGGTGCCCAGTTTATAGAAATCAGATGTATTTCTAGCCCTTGTATTCAAATTGTATAATCATTCCAGAAGAGCTCATTATCCACTTTTTGTGGTATTTATTGTGATAGACTCACAAATTTACTTATTTTGAAGTCTGTATTGTCACAAAGTAAACAAAATTGTTCCCTTCATTACTGCTGTATGGCTCTAATAGATGGGTTACATCGACTTGAACAGGGTTGGATCGACTTGAACAGCTTTGACAAGAGTGGAAACTCGTGTGATCCTTGCAGGTGAGCTTATAAATGAGCATTTAAACATGTACTGCAGGTGACACATCACTGCAAAGGAGGAAGGTCTCGGGAGCGTTGCAGTTGCTGCTGCTGTGCTCGGTCTGCAGTTTCCAGTTTTGCACGTGGACAAGGCCACAGCCACGTGACGGGAACCTCTGTTACGAAKGGCAGCCCCTGGGAGGAGGAGGTGCCTCTCGGGGTGGTTTCTGTAGGATTAAAGGGTGGCTCTGGTCTGTCTACAGGGTCAGCGTTGAGTAATCGCTCCCCTGCACTGAGTAACGAGGAGTGACTAGGAGGGCAGCTCCGCCGAGGGAAGCAACGTTGTGGCCCAAAGAGCTGGGCTCTCCAAATGGTGCTTAGATTGAACAGCGGGTTTATCCTACTTAACCTATCTGAAGAGACAGCTCATGAGAACATTAGGGATATTTCACTTTGGATCTGATGTTTCACGGATTTTAAACAAACCAAACGAACCCCTGCTAAACTGCAGCCAGCTGAAGCGAAAAGCTGCTTGCAAGGAAAAGGAGCTTGCAAGAGCAGCTGGGTTCGTACAGCAGCCCTTGGAGCCGTGTTCTGGGGAGAAGCCSTATGTGCAGCCTCCTCGTCAGACCCTAGGAAAGGTGGGAGAGCGAGAAGGGCTAGGAGGAGGGAAAAGGGGGATAAAGGAAGAGGAGCAGCGGTGACCGGGAGCAGCAGCCCRCCACGGGGGGGCGCCGCGAGCCCTGGGGAGGCGGCGGAGGAGGAACGGGGTCCGCCTGCCGCGCGCCCCGCGCTCGCTGCACCGCTATAGCGGCCCGCCACACGTTATTCCCTCAGCAGGGGGCGTGGCTGCTGGCGCGGGGCGGGGCCCTGCGCGCCTCCCGCGACACGGCCGCTTGTCGCAACCGACAGGCGGCGCAGCCTATGGCAGCGCAGGGGCCGCCCCCTCCTTGCCTGTGAGCGCTGCGATTGGCCGCCCGCGTGGCCGTGGCAGCGGAGCTTGCCGATTGGCGCGTTGCCAGCAGCCGTTACTCCGTTGGTCGGCCCGTCTGTCACTCGGACGCGCGGGGGGGCAGCCTTCCCTTCGCACTCGGCYATTGGCTGCCTCCTGCGAGGGGCGTGCTTATTGGGCGATCTTAACGCTGCACCCACCCCTCGCGCTTCGTGGGCGGCCAAGGCGCTCGCTTTCCTGTGATTGGGTGGTCTCGCTGTCACTCCTCCCCCCCAGCCGCTTTGAGAAAACCCCGCCCTCGTCACCGCCYCATTGGCCGTTGTGGCCGTGCCCCACTTCCCATTGGCCAGCCGAGCCGTCAGTCGGCGCCGGGCGCGGGGCCTCGGGCTCGACGCAGCAGCAGCCGCGGCCGCC